GCAGCAGGAACGCAGGCTGTGTCCCTGCAGGGGTGCTGGGAAATGGGACGGGAGCAGGCAGGTAGCATCACAGCAAGGCTTTCCCAAGGCTGAGCTGATGCACAGCACTAGCTGGTTCTCCAGTGACTAACTGACTGAGCACCTCTTTGTTCACACAACTTTTCCCACTTAAAAAAGATCCTGATGCTGCTTGAAGCCCGAAGATCCAGCCCTGCACTAGCATGCTGATAGCCACAATTATCACCTTCTCAACAGTGAATTCCTGATTCGAGCTCCTGCATATTTATCTTCGGAGTGCTGGCTTTGTTTCTCAAGGTCAAGAACTGCATTTCTTCGGATTCACTTCCCATCCTAGACATAGATTACCTGGCAGGAGAGCACGAGGGAGCTGAGGCTGCTGGAAGCACTCAGCCCTCCAAATACTGCTCAGCATCTACCAGACATGTGCTGGCACAGGCTTTGTGGGCTTGGCTGGTAGATGGGCAGCTTCCAGAGATTCCAAATGTTTGGGTTGAAGAGCAGGGATCCCCTCCACATTCCTTAACCAGGGTGAGTGTGGGCAGCGACTTCAGCACAAAGCAAAATTCCAGTTCCAGGAGCTCCAGAGCTCCTCGTGTCCTCCCTGGGGACCCTGTCCTATTTGCCACTTTGGGAGAAGTGGACTTAGTCGGGAGGGAATATTTCATGGAGGAACTCTGGCTGCTCTCCCCTGATGATACCTCCATTAAAAAAAAAAAAAAAGAAAAGAAGAAAAGGAAAAAATAATTACTTCTCAGCCTCTAACCTTTCCAGCAAGTGACTTTGTAATAAATAATCCACATGTCTCTCCAGTGCAATCCATCAGCAGGAGCTCCTAATTACTTTAGACTCACTTTGAAAACCCTTCCAGTGCCACTTTCAGATAAATAAAAAATTAGTGTGCAACTGCAGCAGTAACCCAGAGAAAGTTTCCCCACTCTCCAAGCCTGGGCTGATGTCTGGGAGGCTCAATGCCCAAAGAGAGCTTCTCAACTTGTGCTGAAAGGTGAGCTGGGAGCACAGGGAATGCAGCCATGGGGTGTCCATGAGGAAACCCCGCTCCAAGTGTGCAGGTGCTTGGGGAAATGGCTGCAGACAGTCCCAGTGCAAGATTTTTTTTCCTGAATCCTCTTCCTTGGGAAGCATCTGTTACTACGTTCTTAGAAACAAGTAGATTGTGACTCCACGGCTGTGCCTGGGCACACTGCTGCTTGAAGGCTGCAAAGAAGGGATGGGAACTGGAGAAATGATTTCCTTAGTGGGTCTGTCCCCGTCCCTCCAGTCTTCCTGGCCCTTTCCAGGTGCTGCATCAGTTGTGGCACGGAGGGATGAGTGCACAAACACAAATGTGCTGTTCTTTGCTAACGAGGGCAGCCAACTGCTGCAGCCAGCAGCGTTCAGAACGGAGCTGGGCAGCAATGGGCAGCAATTGGGGGGGGTTTCTGTGGAATAAAAGAACAGAGCTAATATCAGAACTCCGTGCCTGAATTTCATGTTGCAAAGACTAAAAGTCTCATGCCTTTGGCAGCTGAAGGTTGGAGCTTTCTAAGGAGGCTTCGCCCACCTCTTCCTCCTCTTTCCACCTCTCTTCTGTGATCCCCCTCTTCTCTTCACCTCTCATCTCTGTGCTTAGAGCCTTGGGCAATACCCAACAAACAAACACACACACACACAAACAAAAGCATCAAAAAATGAAGCAAAATTAAATACCCGAGAAACACAGGCCCAGAACCAATAAGGCCTGATTTCACTGCAGTGTGTGTCAGGGGAGGAAGATGCTTGAAAAACCTCCACTGGAGAATTAATTAAACGAATTTCACTCTGCCAATTGTTTGTTATTTTTGCTGACCTCACCAAGTGGATTAATATTTAATTAGCCTTTAGGAGAAGTGGAAAGTACTTATTAACCTGTTATGTCAATCTGTCAGGTCTGGGGTCTCAGGACAGGTGCTGTTACCACGAAACAATAGAAGTATCAAGGTCTGTTCTCTGCAGCATGGCTGATGTCCCCAGTGGAGAGAGAGGGGATGGATAGACCAGCACCTTAATGAGGGGTGTCTGACAGGGGGTCCCCAAATCCTTGCTTGTTCAGAGGCTGGAGCAAAAGCTGGGAAAGCCAAATGGTGCAGGTGGGAAGCACCTCTCAGAAGTGTTTTAAGGCTTGGGTTGGATCTCTGCTGCTGTGAAGCTGGTATCTAGGGGAAGGTTTGGGGTTTCCTTCATTTTTGTTGTTTAAAAACTCTGTCTCCCTCCCTCATGGTGTGCTTACAGTTACCATAGTTCAAAAGATGTTAAAGTTGGTGTCGGCACATCCTCATCTGTGGGGAGATGCAATGGGATCCTGCAAGATGCAGAGCTCCCAGGTGAGTCTCCATTAAAGAAAAGCTCTAAAACAGAAAATAGAATGAATGCAGACAGCAGAATGAGAAACCTTGTCATGCTGGTGGCAAAGACCAGAGGGTCCCCAGCCAGCATCCGAGCTGCAGGGTCTCACTGGGGTTACAGCAGTGACTGCCTGTTGCAGGGCTGGGGCTGGCCCAAAAGAAATAAAACCTGAAGCAGAATGGAACCCTTAGGAGCCATCCTCAGCAAAGCAGTGAGATGAATGTTGTGTATGAGTTAACGAGACTGGGAGGAGCTTGGAAAGAGATAGTGGCTGAAGTGCTCAAGTGGCTGAAAATCTTTTTGTGCAGACTCTTGCAGTGTCAGTTATTAGCAGGTATCGTAACTTACTGCTGAGAAACCAAAGCACAACATCATGTCCAAACCTCCCCAAGTCCTGCTGGCCCTGAGGATCACATCCAGCCCTGGCTCTGCACTTTGCCCTTGGCTTCAGGAGCCAAAAGCAAACCTCAAGTTTAAAATAAAGCCACATCCACACCCTGGTGCTGTAGGCTATCGGGGACGCCACAGTGATGCCAGGAACACTGACCACAATGCCATCATGCCCACCTGGGTCCTGCACCTGGACTGGGCGATGCTGCTGCCATTCTGTGACAGGCCGTATCATTTATTTATTATTATTTTTTTAAATTAAAATCCTCCTGAGCTTTATTAAATAGGGATGCTGATAGGTAATTAAATCGCAACTTAATTAAATCTGTCTGCTCAATCTAGCCGTGGCACACTGGCTACTTTGCAGTCCCTGTGAGAGATGCTGCTGACTGGGAACAACCACACGAATTAAGGGCAGCATCACACTCAGCACCCCTGGGCACAGCCAGGACTGCAATAGGTGTCCCAAAGTGCCCACCTCTGGGCTTCCCCCAAATCTGCAGCCTGGGATCCAGCACCTGAGTGCCCTCCAGGTCCCCCTGCAATCCCCTAGGAGGAGAAGGAAGAAAACTTCAAAAAAAGCCCAAAAGGCAGCAGCATCTGACGAGAGACAAAGCACCAAAGGGGCTTTGGTGTAGGGCAATGCAAATCCTACCAGGATTAATGTTTAATGCTTGGGTTGGCAGGCCATGCCTTGGGTCGGGATGCTTGGGTTCCCCACACTGTGGTTGAAAGAGGCTGGTACACGAGCTCAACCAGCAGCCATCCCGGATATTGGGGATGACCCTACACTCAGGCAAGGGTCAAGGAGGGGTTGCCAAGTTCATGATTCCCCACATCATTTGCTTAGCATTACAAAGCGTTGTGCGCTGGGGCTGCAATAACAGATGAGCTGTCCTGTCTGTATCTACTGGAGCATGGGAAACTTCAAACCTTCTAATTGTTTTATGGCCACCGATGTGAGGTGCTGGAACACAGCACCTGGGAGGGCAGAGCATTCCCACCACTCAGTTTGCATTACTGCTCCTGATGAGGCCACAGGTGATCTCATCACGGGTGACCACAGGGAACAGCGCTGCTGGAAGCCCACACGGGAGTCACAGCTCCCATGTTCCCTGCTGGGGGAGACAGGGATGAAGAAGAGGTCACCTGCATAGAGAGAGATAGAGAGATGGGGAAGGACCATCACAGAAAGACAGGCATAGGCAGACCTCGGGACATACAGACAAGCACTTTCTGAAGCAAAATTCATGCTAAGAGTGCCACCCATGGAGAAGACTCGATTTTCTCTTCTCCTCTGCCACCAGGATGTAAATGAACTGGTTATACTCCAGGACTCTTTCATGCACGCTGGAACATCATCTTAGCAGATACTTACAAATGTGCTGGTTTTGCTTACTCCTGAAAAGGGTCTGCTCTGATAGGTGCCCTACTGTGCTTTCAACCTCTGGGAGACCCTGATGATGAAACTGGTGGTGAACCTTCTTCTACCTCTTGAGAACAGAGGTGAGCAGAACGGCTCGGATCTCCAGGGGATGAAACAGAGATGAATAAGCTGTAGATGTTTGCTGAACTTTATGGCCACGGGTTTTTTGAAAACAGGGTTGCCCAAGTCACATTTCTGGAATGAGAAATTTCTGATCTGCACCTAAATGCCACCATTGTCTCATCACAACAGAGGGCAAATGTATTAAATGCTGACCTGAAGCCTGGAGAATTAGAGTTTGGGTGCAGAAAACAATCTACATTTTGCGGTGTAGCCCTTCTGTTCTTTGAAATGTTGACAGATTGCTTGGTTTTCACTTTTTTATGTGTCCCAGGTCGTGCTGGGACATGTCAGACCACAGGGTAGCTTGTAGTTATGGGACAAACCATAGGTAATTTGGCAGGATAACATTAAAAAGCAAGAGGAGGAAACTATAAATTCAGAGTGTAACCACCATAAAGTATTCTCTTAATTCCCAGCCAACCTCTTAAAACCACAGACAGTTCTTCCCCTTGCCCATAAGATGACTTTCCCTCCCCGTAGGATGTGTTGTTACTGCACAGACAACAAAGCACTGCAGGAGCAGTGGTGCTGATGGATTTCAGATGTGTTTCAAGACCTGATGGAGGTTCTGCCCTTTTGCATGCTGGACCTTTCTCCTGAGCAGCAGCAAAGGTTTGCTGTCTCGTAGCCCTGTTTCATTTCTCAGTGTTTTCTAGGGGACTTCATGTCATTCCTCCTCTTCCCTTTTGATTGGAGAGGACAAGCCATGTGCCTTTAGAGGTGGGTATGAATCATAACCCAGAGTCAGCAGCAACTCCCATGGCAACATCCAAGAACATTCACCAGGCTGTTTCTGGGAAAATAACAAATATGAGCTACATGTGAGCCTAAGGTCTGCTTTCCAGTCAGTCAGAAATGGCAAAGTGTCCTAAACTTTCCTTTCCCCTGCTACGAAGAATTCATGGAGCTGCTATAGTTCTGTATTCAGTCCTCTTAGCCAGCAGTGAAGCTCTGCACCAAAACAACACTGAAGTGCCTAAAACCACATTTTTCGAGATTCAGAAGAATTTATGAACCCAAATGGCATCGATTTCCTTCCAAAACATTACCCCAACAATGCCCTTTTCTCCCAGGTAGGCCAGTCTCATCTCATTTGCACTTTACTCTCTCTCCATTTACCCCCTCCCTATTATCTTTTAACTAAGGATCGTTGCAGATTCTCATTCCTGGTCATGCTTTAAGGGCCAGCATTTTCTCTGCAAGGAGGAGCAGGAAGCACTCAGGCCTCATCCATCTGTAGCTGGTGGATGCCCTGTCTCCTTTTTTCAACACCACTCCACTTATCTATCTTTTCCTACTCACAGAATACTGCTGGTGAGCCTCCTGTTTCTGCTTCGGGGCCTGTTTGTCTGAACTGCTGCCCTTGCAGGCAAACACCTCTGATGAGGTTTTAGTTCCAGTTAAAGTTCAGTTCACATTTAAAGTTTTCTTTCAAAGGCACAGTTATTTTAAATGTACTCATATAGCTGAGGGGAAGTTTTCTGATATCAAATATTAGCTTACATTATGGAGCTGAGAATTTACATAGGGAACACCAGAAAAAAAAAGAGGAAAGTCAGGGAAGGGCAAATGGAAAAGGACCTTTTTGAAAGGCAGAAACAGCTGGAGCCAAGCTCAAAGAGCTGGAAGACAGTAGTGCACGGAAAATAGAGGACAAGGTGAGAATGGGCAAAGGAAAATCGAAAAGGGGAGCTGATAGATTGAGGAGGGGTGAAGACAGAGAGAGAGCAAGAGCAAATGGATAGAATAGCCAAAAAAAAAAGACAGAGAAAATATAAAGCAAATCCAATATTTAGTAATTTTGGAGAATGGTAACATTCACTTTTTGCAAAGTTTTGGCGTTCTTTTTTGACTGTAGGAATATTGCAGAGGACAGGAAGAGAAAGCAGAATGTCTGAGCACTACCAGTGAAGTGAAAGTGTTGTGCATGGATATTACACACACACAGAGGTGCTGCATCTTGAGGTCCCAAAGCACTCTGGAGCCTCACATCTCCCTGTAGCTGGTGCTGCCTGCTGCCATCAATGATTTCGGTGGTTCTGAGTCCTGCTAGCAATAGGAACAACCAGGTGTGTGGAGCACAATGTCTCACAGGCCCTGAAAAACACAGAGATCTCCCTTTGAGCACGAACCATTCTCCTTCTCCAACACTAATCCCAAGGGAAACAGCCAAGAGGGACTCCGGAAGGCGATAAAATGCAATTAAAACCAATGAGATGTTCTACTATTTAATGGGTGCAGAAGAAAGAGGGTCTGCCTCCTGGGTCATTCCTTTCCCACCCACAATCAGCATGACAGACCCGCAGCCCTTGCTCCATCCCATGGCACCTCTCGTGGCCCTCGTCGTCCTCAACACCACCCCTTCTGATGTCCATGTCCAGCAATTCAAAGACAATTAGGTAAATGCATAAGTTTGGAGGGGAGGGGATTTACACCTCCTGTTGCCCTTGCAATGAATTACCGGGGCTGGTAATGGGCTGCTGCCCCAGTGCCTCGTAAATCGTGCAACTGAGGCCATGCAGTGATGGGTGGCTTTGATCAGGACACGCTGCCCTACCACAAACAGGAAAAGGAAGAGGTGATTTTTCATGGGTTACTACTCACTTCGGCCTCCAAGTTTTCCACTCTGTTGAAACTTTGACAGTGCCTAATAATCCATCAGCAAGGCTTTCCCTGCTCTGCTTCCACTCCATTACCACCTTCATGTTCCTGTTTCACTTCTTTCACACGGACCCCGGAAAGGCCGACCATGTCCCACCATCCCAAAGCAGCCCTGGGGATGGGGGAAAGGACAGGGGGAAAGGAATCAAAAAGCAGGAGCCAACACAAAGGGAAGGAGTTCCTGAGTGACCTCAGATGTACCTCTGAATGCCTGCACCTGAAGAGGAGCAGTGAGGCTCCAGGGGACGACTTGGGACCTCAAATCAGATGTTGCTTTTGGTGGTGAAGCCCTGAAATGCCTCAGAAGGAAGGCAAACAAGAGGTTACCTTCAGTGCTAAGCTGTCACCTGATTTCTGAGGGCTAGAACTCTTGGGGTCCATGCTCTAGAGCACTTGCCATGCTGGAGGAGTGTGGGTTTTCTCCAGGTCTGTTCTGACATCTGCCAGCCATGCCCGCTGTCTCAGATACCTCAGGGTGCTTCAAGTAGCACAGTACATTTGGGTACCTGAGCACAGTCCTTCGTTTCCATGTCTTTCACAAAACTTTGCTGCTTAGATTTATCCTCCAGACTCATCCCTTCTCTTCACAGGTCATTCCTTGTGTCTCGTATGTATTAGAGCAACACATTGTGTGTGTTCAATTTTACACATTCTGCATTCTGAATCGAACAAAATCCTCAGAACTGCACTGTTTTCTTAGACTAATGAATTCTTTTCGAGGGGTAAAAATCACCTCAGTAATAAATCCAAACTGTGAAGGCTTGATGTATCTGTTTTTCTGTTCGCCTCCACTGCTGCTAGACAGAATTAGCCCTCACCTAATACAGAGTGCAGACTTGATACAACCTTGTTTAGCACAATTGGTTTGAATCCATTATATTGACAATATCAATTTGTGTAATTCCTGCATTAGGATTTTCTGCTAAACTGTATTTGAAAGGAGCTGTTGACCTTGATTAGCTCTTTAATTGTGGTTAAAATCCAAAGTAATTCAGATACCAGCTTTGACTGTGGAAGGGAAGGGCCATGCCATGTGATGGCACAGTCAATAACTGCTGCGTTCCCCACGGACAGAGCTCCCATGCTATATTGGCTGTGGGTCTCATTGCTGCCACAGTGCAGCCTTCACTCTGACCAGACCCTCTGGGCTTCACCTCTCGGGCTGCATTGCAAGAGCAGACACTCCATGTACAGCCTCCTGGAAAGCTTCCAGTCAAGCCATCCATGCAGATCACAACACCTCTGCTTTAGCATGCAGCTGGGATTCCTCCTCATCTCCCATCCTGGAGCCGTAACAGCGCTGGGTACTACAAGGGCTGCTCAGAAAGGGCCTGGACCCCTCTGTCTACACAGTTAATCTTGATTGCAAATACTGCCTTTCTCAATGAGTGGTCCCTTAGCAGCAAAAAAAAAAAAAGATACACCAAAAAAAAGTGTGTTATTAGAACACATTAAGGAGCCCATGATTGTTGGTGCCCAGATATCTGCATGGGATGCTCGTGGTGTTATGGGCACCCAGGGGCAGGCTGGTGCTCTGCCAGCACCCAACTTGCCTTAGCAGGAACTGTGTGCCACTTCTCCAGGTTGTAGGCAAAAGTCATCTGTGTGCTGTGAGCTCTGCATTCATGCAAGTGTTCTGGGTGAAAAATGCCAGGCACAAGGAAAGGCCATTTCCAGGACTGCCATGTGCTGAGGGGGAAAATGGGTGGGATGAAGCCTGGGGGAGAACCCTTTTCAGTCAATAAGGAATTGTGCCAGAAAACAGCAGAAGGAGCAGTTCAGCAGGAATTACAGAAAAGAAAAAAAATATATATCTGGCAAGAGATACAGCTTGAAAGATTGAGCACTTCATTTTGGGCAAACCAAATGTTTCAATTAAAAATGACAGAGCTACGGCCCTTTAAAAGCAGTCAGATCTTAATACATTTTTCGTGACTGGAAGCAGCCCATCTCCTGAAGATCTTGACAAGCTCTCCGCTCTTTGGAGATTGTGTTTCCTCCTGGATCTCTGTCTTCCTGGCACCAGACAGCATTGCCAGACACGGATCATAGAGAGAAGGCACAAAAAGGCACGCCAGGCATCTTGTGCTACATATGTGTGGAACGACACGTGCTGCAAGGAGCAGGATGGCTGCTGGTGGGGGAAGGGCTTCCAGGGAAGCAAGAGGAAAGCAGGAGTGCAGAGATGAAAGGCCATGAAGAAGGAGGCAACCAAGGAGGAGAGGAGTGGGTGCAGCAGAGTTTGTGAAAGACGGGAGCAGGGCTGTGAAAGTGGAGAAGAGAGGGAGGGAGTGGGGGGAGGCAGGTCTGCTGTGTGCCTGGGAAAAGGACAATAAAAGCTGCGGACTCCTGTCACGCAGGACAAGCCCAGCACTATTTACTGTTTGCTCATTTAACCTGGTTAATTTTTAATAATGTTGAAATTTTCATTTTAATAATTTAGGTAAATTATTTATTAAACCACGGGATAAAGGGATCATAGCAATTATGAATTGACAGTGTTACCTGAGGCTCATGAAAAGGTAAGGGGTTTTGCAAAGTCCTTGTTATTGGATAAACATTAAATTAGCAACAACTTCACATCCAATTTAAATTACCTTCTTCCAAGTCTAAGGTTGCTTGCTCTCTTGGGAAAGACCACGGTCAGCAGAGCAGAGCCATGGCTGCCCTGAAGGGGACCGGGGTGGTGCCCCAGCTGTGCCCCAGGCAGCCACGAGGCCATCTTTCCTTCTGAAGAGTCAGCAAGGTGACATTCACTGCTCTAGTAATGCAGAAACTGCAAAGCTTTTAAGAAAGAATATGTTAGTAAGTAAATGGGTCTTGCCTGGCTCTGCTTAGCAGAGAGCTGATGGCCTTCCTGGTATTACAAATGCCAACAGAACTGTGCTTGCACTTCCTACCTTTTGCAGGGCTCTTCCTCATTGCATTTTGGTGACCATACAGCCCCGGATCAGCTCTGATCACAGGAAAAGTGTGATGCCAGCTGCCTTCAGAAGGGCTCCCGAGGAAATGCAGAGCCACTGCTGGGAGATGCCAAGGGCGTTCTGGAGAAGTCTGTGTAGAAATCTTCAGGCTGTCTCTTGAGCAAAGCAACCATTGCGGAGCAGAAATCAGTGCTCTACGCTGGGATAGTTCACTGAAAATAAAGGTATTGGTGCTGAGAAGGCATTAAGTATCTGAATGAGTGGAACTGCAGTGGCTTAAAAACACTTAGGGAACGTAGCATCCAGATACTGCCTGATACAGGATCATACAATCATAGAATGGCCTGGGTTGAATAATGACCATTTAGTTTCAACTCCTCTGCTATGTGCAGGGTGACCAACCACTAGACCAGGCTGCCCAGATCCAGTCTGGCCTTGAATGGCTCCAGAGAGGATGGGGCAGGATTTGCTTTGAATTAGAAATTTAAATGGAATATGGAGAGAGATGGGAAAGTGGAGGACAAAGATGGGATGCAAAACCTGGTGGTCTCAGACAGAAAAGGGCTGCAGCCATTGCCCCACTTCCAGCAGTGATACAGACCAGTGGAAATCAAACCGACCATCCAAAGCTTGAACAGCAGTCCCAGGTTTTAAGCTCTGTAATGAATCAGACCCGAGTTTGCATTTTCATATTTTGGGATGTTTAATTTCCAAGCATTTTGTTTTAATTACCAGTTTCCAATCATTTTTATGTTAGCTCTGAGTGCCTTTCCTACATTTTCTTCTCAATAATTAAAACTTTTTAATAACAATACTTTCAATCAAAGGATTTCAATTTATCTTCTAACTTAGTTCTATCCTAATAAGATTTTGTCCCTGGGAATTTCCTAACTCGCAGTAAAGGAAATAAGCATTTCTAAAGAATTATTTTATTTCCTTCCAACATATTGAGAGCTCAGATCTCTTAAAAACTTAGGGAAAGCATCAGGACACATTCAGAGCCCCAGATACTTGGACATGGGATGACTCAGGATACGAATCTGGTCTTCCTTCTTTTTGGTCAACCAGCAACAGCCACCGACGCTGTGCAAAACAAGGTGCTGAACAGATGGGTCCCAAGGACTTGAAAGAACTCACTCTAAGATTTGAAATCTGTTTAATCCCGTTTTGGTGGCATGCCTTACAGGTGAGAAAATAGAGCCAATTACACAGCAGTCAACAAATGCTTAATCCACAATTCGTTGGCGTCTCTAAGCTCCACGTGAATCCAAACTTGCCCGTCCCCAGAGTTTATTAATTGCCAGAGTTTATAATCTGCAGAGAGCCTCTCCAAGGGATGCACGTTCTGTACAAGTGAAGTCACAGAGAAACCCTAGAAACTTGTAGGTAGAGACAGGAGGTAGATATGAATTGCTGCCTTCTCACCTGCATGCTCAGCACCCATTGGCATCGTGGGCAGTCCATTATACCTGAATCAACGTCGCCCTGAGAATAGCATATTAACTACAAACGAACAAATCAGCAAAGTGCTTCCCACGGCTATCTCAGCTCACCTCCTTCCTTTGCCCTCAGTCTCCCCTCCGATTCTTCCATCAGGAAATTAAGTGATTTAAAGTAAAGAGCAAAACTTTTTTTGTTACTGTGAGCCAGTGATAAAGAGAAGATATCAGAGCTGAGTGCCACAACTCGACTGACTTTCACTAGCAAATGCTCATTCCACAAAAGCATGGAGTTTGCTACGTGTCAATCAGCAGGCTGAACTTTCCAGTGAAAGCTGATCAGAATCCTTTTTTCTCCATGAACCAAGCCCACAATGAGAACGGTGTTACAGCCTGAAGTGGAAGCTCTGGAAGCAACTCATGAGTCAAGAAGAAGGGGCCGACCATCCGAAACCACAGCTGGTTTGCTGTATGGTTATTCACCGCCTCTTTAACTTCCTTTTGTTAAAACTTCCAATCCACCCCAATGAAGACAGTTTGGTTCGTGTGTTCCCCAGGGCGGGGACTAATTTCCCATAGGACAGCTAACGAGCTGGGCTGTAATTAGCTGCCTGTTGGGTGGAGGCACCCATCCCACGTGCTCATCCTTTCAGGGAGCGTGTGGCAGACAGTGGCTGCAAACAGAGGAAGGATTTTGCAGCTTGCAGCTCTGACTGAATGCATTCTATTAACAGACATCTTTTCTGCTGCACACAGATGAACGCAGCAGCGCAGGAAGCAAGGAAGAAATTAATAACAATGTCTGAGTACTCGGAGAGGCTCTTCCCAAACTCCTGCTTGGCTCGCAGCAACAAAGGCCCCCTCTGGTGCTCTTCCATCTCCCGTCCCTGCTGCGATCGCTCCCAGACGCCTCTGTTAACGGCTATGATTTTTCAGGGACGGGCTCTGATCCAACACCTAACTGCAGATGAGGGGAACCATCCAACGGACAGCAGCGAGCTTTGGCTCAGTCCTGTGGGCAGGAGCAAGGAAACAGAGAAATTCAGATGCACGGAGCCCACATTCAGGAGCAGCACAGCCAGGGGCCGAGGCCAGGCTGTGCCTGTGCTGCCAAGACCCCCCGGTGCCCTCAGGAGAGGGGCCCTGCTGCATCCCAGCACCCAAACGCTCAGTACTGCAGCCCTGTCCTCCGCCTTCCCTTCACGCCTTGCTCGGGAAGGCCAGCGAGGACGCTGAGCCTGTTTGTCTCTATTGTAAGTTGCCAACCCTCCCCCCCCCCCCCCTTTTTTTTTTTTTTGTTATTACATTTTTTCAAAATGGAAAAAGTGAATCCCTCCCCCTTCCTTGTCCCTCCCTGCCACGTTCCCAAGGTGCCAACTAATCTCCAATGCCCAGCTTGTACACAGCCACCTCTAATTGCTCCTGCATTTTCATCTGGTGTAAGTTCAGCCATCGCTACAGCTGCCCCTCCTCCCCCCGGGAATTCACACCTTCATTATCACTCTTTACTGCAGAGCCGTCCGCAGGCTCCCGGCTCCGAACAGCAGCTCCGATAAAAAATAGAGCAGCTTTTCAGTGGTTTCAATTTTAATTACCAGCATCAAGGCAGCTCGCATTCTCACCAGGCTGTTTCGCACTAATTAAAGTGAGGAGGAGTTTATGGAAGGGACACCAACTCCACTTCACTCCCTCATCTATTATTTACAGACAGTAATACAAATAATTTCCAATTTAAACAGTCTGAGCTGGCCAGCAAAGAGGAGGGAGAGCTGGGGAGAACGCTAAGCAAGGAGAAACTCAAATAAAGAGCTGAAACTCCAAGAGGGGACAGAAAATCGACTCCCAGTGCCCTCTAGTGGGGTGATTTCTTGAGGGGTCCCAAGGTCGGAGGTGTGAACATGCCCAGAAGGACCAGCCAAGTGCCAGATGCTGGTTTCTCCTAACCTGACCTCGCCGGTGACCTTCAAGATGGGACCAAGATGCAGCAAAGGATGATTTTGGCCAAGTGACCAGCTTGTGTGGGTGCTCACCCCACCTGAAGGCACCATCTGTGGTGGGGGGCCAGGGAAACGTTGAGCTGTAGGTCTGAGATAGCATGGGAAGGCTTCTCCCATTGTGGAGGTGGGCTGTCCGTGTGATGATAAACTCATGCATCAAGAGATGCAGTTTCCCAAGGCCAGGATTTCTTCCCTGCCCTCCTGTTGGATGGGAAATGATCTGCATTTCCCAGTCAATCTCTCAGTGCAATGAATGCCAAACCTGGGAATTTCATGGATTTGCAGAGAAGAAACCCCATAGATAGGGCAGCATGGAGGTGTGTGGTTCCTACCTCGATGAAAACACTTCCCTGTAATCATGGAACATTTAAGATTTTTCCATGTTAATTAACCAAGATGCGACAGCAACTCTACCACCTTGCTGTGCTTGTTTTTGGCACAGGTGAGGCAACTGACACCATGAGCTTCTGTTATGGCTCTGACCTCTGCAAGGCGCTGAAATGGTGTCATCTGTGGGTCACATTCGGATTTCATTTAAACCAGTGCTGATCAGGAATAACTCCAATAAGAACAGAGTTACCCCGGATTTACACCAGGCTAAGGCAGATAAGCCTGAAGATCAGTGACTGAAGGAGATGAAGTTTCAGCATAAATGATATTACTAGAGAAAAGTAGCTTGATTGAAGCACAGGTGTTGAATGTTAATCGCTGTAGGCTTGATCCAGCGTCTGTGTAAGTCAAAAGCAATATCCCATTTACAGCAGCATCTCGGAATTAGATCAACGGCAGGTAAATACTCAGAGACTAATTCATCTTTCTCTCGTATCACCTCTGGAGTCTGTGAAGTGCCTGCGACTTCAGCAAAAGCATTCCTGACTTCTGCCAGGGTGCACTGGAGAACTGGGCTGCCTGCTCTGCAGCAGGTGGCTCTCACACTTGGGGTCGGGTCAGGGGGTGTTGCTGGGCCTCAGGATCAGCCCTAAAGGACTTTTGCTCCACATCTGACTGTGCCTGTCTGCACAGAGGGGAATGGACTTGCTCACATGCCGTGGGCAGGTTGGACCCGATGGTCCAATGCAGCTGGAACACAAACCATGCCACGACTGCGGGTGTTCCTGGCTGCTCCGGTGTAAAAAGAGAGTAAATAACCAACCAATACAAACAGCCACAAAGCCATAAACGTTTGACAGCTGTTAAACTGTGGATGCAGACAAAACCCCAAGCCCTGGCCCCGTGCAATGAGCCTGGCCTGCAGGTGGGGGCTTTATGGCCGGGCTGGTGGATAAGCATCCATGTGACTGGTTCAAGAACGGGCTGCTCAGCACAGATCACAGGGAGCCCCTTCACGGAGCTGGAATGCCTTTGCACCAGGCCTCTCATTCCCAGCCAGAAAGTCTGTCTCTCTCTGATGAGAACAGGGGTTTTCTAATTTATTGCTTTTATGGGATTGTTCCTCCACAGAGGCACAAATAGCAGCATATCAATAAAGCCAGTCGTTTGAAGTTGGATATTTCCACCTCTGTCACAGCAAAATAATTAAAAAAGGATTCACAAGATCATAAATTATATGTCACCAAGGACACAGCCTCTTTAACCCTTCAAATGCCAGGCTGTGCCCACCCGAGCCGCATCCTACTCAAGGCAGGAAGCCACATTTGTCATTTTCAAGCTTTTTGGCCACTGGTGCTTTCCTGTCTGAAAGGAGACACACTGAGGACTTGTCTGCACTGGGGATGGCTGGCAGGAGCTCAGCCCAGCTCCAGAATGAGAATGCTCACATTGGTTTGATTTTCAGCCGGGCCAACAAGGGTCTGTGCTGCAGACCTGCAAGAGCTGAACATTTAGTCACATGGAAGTTGAAACACTTACAAACACATCAGGCTTTGGGAAAAACAGCTTCGAACATATTTGAAGAGTGGCAGCGTAGAGAGGGCCTGAAAAACATTTGTTCTCCTTTAAAAGCTCCTCTGGCTCCAGCGAGATGATAAAAAGGATGGAGCCCATCTGGGTTGGAAACTCCCGTTATCCTGCTGATCCCTCCCCAGCACAGACACAGCCAAAGCATACAGGAAAAGGAATGTAAATGCAAAAGAAAACCAATGAATATTATTTTCCAAGCAAGTGGCCACTTAGCTCCTGATATGACAGCCAGCTCGTGCTCTGGTCTAATTTGATCACAGTCAAGGTTAACAACCATTGTTAAACTCTGCAGGTCAAATCCTGCCCTCTTGTAAATCCAGGGGAACTCCACAGGAAAGTGTAAATCTCTGGGTTTGAGTCTCCATGGCAGGTGGGAAGGGGGTTCCCCAGCAGGGCTGAGGATGGGGACAAGGACTGCAACCTGTGTGTGCTGGGCCAAGGGCAGGGCAACGAGTTGGTGCGGGTTGGTGGAAGGGAGCCCACCCTGGGCACGTGGTTCCAAAAAGACCCCTCTCTGTGTCCCATGGGAGTCTGCAGCCCTGGGAGAAGTCCTGCTGGAGGTGGATTTGTGGGAAGGGCAGTGCTGATAAGCTTATGGCAGGGCTGTGAAGTTTTGTGCCCGTATCCCGTGGCTGTATCTGCTATGATCAGCGTGCCATGGAGGCATGTGGGTTTGTCTGCATTGTCTTATGAGAACCTCAATCCTCCTGATTCAAGACAAAATCCCCGAAAAAAAGGTGCTTTTATCCTTTTTGTTATCCCACGGCACAAAGTGGTAAAGGATGGCCACGGTTTGCTTAGGCTGAAGCTCATGTTTAAGTGCCTTAGGGGAAGTCAAGAACAAAACTCTTCTGCTATCCCCTCCTGACAAAGCAACCTAAAAGCTTACCTCTGGATTACTTACATCTGGTTGCTTCTGGAAAAGCAAGATCTCGAGGTTGTTACTCCACTTTCAGAAGCTCAGGCAGCAGTGACACTCAGTTCCAAAGTGACATCAACTCCAAAGTGACACCAACACCAGCAGCAGCTCTTGCTGCAGACTGTGTGTGCAGCTCTGCAGTGAGCTGTGCAGCCCCAGACCCAAGGTGTTGAAATGCCCATAAAACCAATGGGATTCCTGTTTGCTCATGCTCTGTACCACCACAAGTGATAGCAAGGCTATGTACAGAAGGGAGAAGGAAGAGGCCTCGTGTTCAAAGCCAAACACACTCAAACATTCTCCTTAAAAGCCACAAGACATAAAAATTACGCATTGTTTGAGATTATATGTGGTGCAGAGAGTCTAAAGCTGATTCCATCCAGGTACAGGATTACTTCCCCCATTACAGACTCAGAAAGTCAGATGAGCTCAATGAATTTAAGCCTAAACAGCATCAATTAAATAATGACCGTGAACAAACACAATAACATTAAAATCTTAAGCCTGGATGTTGGGAGGAGGAAAGCAGATGCAGAATAACAGCACGGCCGATGGCGCTGGGTTTCAGTCACCTTTCCCAGTCCTGTTACACATCCACACAGCAGCCTGCAAGGGCAGCAAGGGGAAGGGGCTCAGCCTTTCCCATCAGAAGCTGACCCTGGCCCCGGGGAGCCCTGCTCTGCCTCTGTGCCCAATGGTACATGACACCAGATTAGGACCCTTCAGAGCTGAGCTGCAAACCAGGCAGACAGGGCTAAACGGCCCCTGGGTACGGGATTACAGGAGTCTGCAGAGGGACGGGGAAACGGCTGCTCCTTCCCCACCGAGAGGGGGGGGAAGAGGATGAGGACGTGCATATGGAGCAGGGCAGCAGCTGAGCCCCTGTCAGAGCTCCCTGGAGGAACTGGAGGAGGCACAGCAGGGGCTGCACAGCAGCGCTCGGAGCAGGACTGATAAATGCATGCTCATCACGCAGGGAGAAAGTGCCCAGCGTGTGGCTCTGGGCAAACAGCAACAGCAGAAACAGAAGAGAGGACTTCTCTTAAGGCTGGCACCAAATGTCTGCAGAAATGGCCGTTTTTGCTGACTCAGCCCTATGCCATGGGCAGGTTTGTGGAGCATCAGGAGTCCTACAGCGGCAACAAACCCATTTCCCTCGGCCGTCCCTGTGGTTTCTGAATGGTGGCCTGCAGACCCCTATGGGCTGTGAAATGAAGGCTGTGGAAGGCCGTGAAAGGAAGCAAAATCTTTCATGCTCCAGTGAAAGCACAAAGAAGTCTGTGCCTCTGCTGAAAAACTTTGTTTAGCAGCCCACAAACTGGAATAAATCAAAATCACAGTTTTAGTTTTAGGAATCTATAACTGCCCTTCATACAATTTTTCTATTATCTATCCAAAATAAAAATAGTGCAGATAAGTAATGAGATCTTGCAGTACCTATCAGTGTAGCTATAATAAACATTTTGAGTGGAGCACTGCGAGATGAAATGATGTCTTATTAGAAGAGCTGAAGGTGTGAAACTTGCCACCAGCACCAAGGCATAGAGGTGCTCCTATGACATCTGGCTCTTACTGTTTATTATCAAATTGATGGTTAATGGAACCAGAACCTTCATGTCATCACTCAGCTGTCACTGGTGCTTGTGTGGCTCCATCTCCATAACATCCATTGCTCTCTGGCTCTAGCATCCCTGCAGTATGCCCACAAGGAGCAGCACGATGGCTGTTCCTGGAGAACAAACATAATCCATAGCTGAGCCTCTGGGCCAATGGCGAGAAGGTCTGAGGGAGGGGAAATCCTTCTTTTCCATGCAGGCCTTGATGGTGTAGTTGATCTGAACACTTGGGGGGCCTCTGAGCTGACTCCCAGTCCTGCCAAAATTAGTTGTCTGAGGGGAAGGTTCCCTGTTTTCACATTGCAACAGCAACAAGCAGATCGTGTGGGCACAGAGGGGTCTGGGGAAATCTGCAGGAGGTAAATGGGAATAAATCAGAGGGAATCTGTCTCTCCATCAGCTGCATTCGTGAAGGGTACTCTTTGGTCTTGGGCAGATAAGGGTAATGGGGTTTTGCTATGGCCTTCCTGATACCACTCTTGACCACCTGTCAATGCTTTGTGGCACATGGAAACCCCAGAAGCCAAAGCAGAAGAGGAGGCTTTGAAGCACCTACCTGGTGCAGCAGCAACAGGAGCGAGTGGCTGAATCCTTGGCAGTGAAGCTCAGAGCTGTGGACACCCAGCTGGGATTTCTCCAGGTTGGTGAGGATCTTGGTGGTGGGCACAGTGACATCTGCATCAAACTAGAAAGATCAGGGGGCAAGAAGAGGGGCTTAGATAGCAGCACTGCCCCAGCCGTCCTCACCTGGCCACCAGGGCTGCAGCCCCCTCCTCCCCTCCAAGCCCACCATCAGCACACTTGTTAACCCCCTTTTAATTTAAGAATTAGCAAATGCTGTTGTAACACAGCAAACATCAACCAGTTTCTTCCAGCAGCCTGCCATTCGGGACCATGAAGGGAGGGAGGCAGAAAAGCTGTAGGAAATAACTTACCTAGTCCATGGAGCACAGCGTTTCCCTACCTGCAACCTCAGCACCCAAGGGAGCCAAGAGCAGAGCTCCCCTTGCCTCACTCAGCCCTGGGGGGAGGCAATGAAACATCATTTTCTCCCTCCAATCCTTTGAACTATACTCCTGAGTAGAGAGAAGACAAGGGAAAATAAAAGGGGGAAATTAATTCCAGGCAGTTGAGTGCATTCCCTGCTCTAGCTCAGTTTGGAGTAGGTACACATAATAACAACTTTTTAATAATAATTTAATTTATAATGTGCCCCCCTGCCTAGGCACTCAAGGCACTGCACAAACAATTAAAATATGATTATAATAAATAAACAACAATAATTAAAACATCATAAAACAGACAGTATTAGCGCCAAACCAAACACCAAAAAGCAAAACAAAGCAGCATCTTTGGAGGAAGGAGATCCTTGCACAATTCATCTTCCAAATCTCCTGTTGATGTTAGATTGAAATTCTCCTGCGAAGCTGTTTCTGCATTGCAAAGATTTTGGCAGTGTCATAGTCGTTAAAAAAAATGGATTTCACACCACTGTAAATTAACTGGAGTTTTGCAAGGCTGTAATAACGCAGCGTTCACTCCTGTCTCTAAATTCCAACGCTCGGTTTAGTCGGGAACTCAGTTTATGGCGCCGAGTTTGTGTTGACTGCCCCGAGTTTGGGAAGAGCACGCATTCATTTTGCTCTCAGTTCATAAAACGTGCTTCATTACAGTCGTAAGAATGCTTCCATCGGCACAAGGATGGCGTGTGAAGATTTAAACCCAACCCCAAATGTGAAGAGCAGACAGCACGGCCCGCCCCTGGCCATAAGCTCTTTGGAGCCGAGGGGATCGCCTTGTCCCAGCGTACACAACTGGAACCAAAAGACCTCGACTAACAAAAGAAGCAATCTTCCTCCAAAACAAATGAAATCCCAACTTGTGCCAGGAGAAAGCCGTGCACTGAACTCTAATGATTAAAGGAGACAGGCTCTGTCAAGGCAGAGGTGGAACTGAAACCCAGCCAGTCGGGCCCTCTCCTGACAAAACCTGGCCACCAGCCCTCAGACAATTACATCCAGGATCCGTTCACTCGAGTGCCTCGGCTGATCTCAGTTGTTGTGGCAGCGCATGAAGGGAAAATCCTTCTTGCAAACCCAAACCACGCGGGGATTTCTCCATATTAGCAAAAAAAAAAACAAAACACAAACAAAATGGGTTAGGAAGATGAAGCCAGAGGTTTTCTTCCAGCACAAGGAACCAGGAGGATGCTTTCCGTTCCGATCTGTCTGAGGCTTGGTGCTCACGGGCCTTATGTGGAGCTTCATATCTAAGTGGGTCTTCAAAATCAAAGGGATGACAAATGAAACCACGTGGTTCTCACACACAAAGCCATCTTTTGGCCAGGATTCATTCAAAAAACATCCCTCAGAAGGGCTCATGAACCTCAGCTTAGCGTGCTGTGTCATAATTTCACATTTTTCAAACCAGAGAAGATGCCTTCAGAGAGGATGTTTCATTCATTTCTATTTTCCCCTACCAGGACACTTAAAAACGGTTTGAGGCACAGACTGCTGGTTCACACAGATTTCCTCAAAAGAGGTTGAAGCTCATGCTCTTGGGGGTACTGCACAGAAGCAGATTGGTTCTGCCCCCTCCAGGAGACACACCATGGGCAGCAGTTTGCACTGCACCTTCCTGCGTATGGTTTTTATTCTCCTTGGGGAAAGGATGCACTGAGATGTGAGTGGCTCCTGTAAGCCTTCTGTGCTCCCTCCTGCCTGGTCATATTTTGGGTAAAAGATTCTGATTCTGGGATGAATTGCAGAAAATTTGCATGCAGTTTTCTGTACCACTTTTCTACCATTGTCCTTTGTGACCTTGAGCAGCTGACTCAGAGTCACACCATGAAAAATATCAGAAAAATGCCTCACTCTTGTTTTTAAAGAGAAGACAGCATTTAAGTGCCTTGTAGGACCTGGGTCAAAGCTTTGTGCCTCAGTTTCCCCATGTGCTTTCCTACCTTTCAGGGCAGATTGGAATTGGACAGTGAAGAGAATGGGACATGTGTCAGCGTGGCCAGAATGGACCCATTGACCCTCACTCACTTCACCATCACTGTTTTCAAATCAGCTCTGGGCAATCACCAAGTGCTGATTCTACACCATCACACGCCAACAAATCAAAGATCCCTCCCAGGGGCTCTCCAGGTCCTCCAGGGCTGGGCTGTGCAGCACCAGGGCTGGGAAGGCATCAGGAGCTGCTGCAGGAGAGAACAGGCTGGCACTTGAGAGCAGAAATGAGAAGATCGAGGTGGCAGAATATATTTTATGACAAATCCTAAAAGGAAATTATGCAAAGTAATAAAATAAAGAAGAATTGTAAATGAGGACAAGAAATAGGTGAGATATAGAATAAATTATAGGAAGACAGGAAGGTGCAGGAGGAGAATCGAAGGCAGAAGCGCTGAGTTAAAGGATAGATATTAGAAACTGGCTGGTAGACAGAGGGGGGAGTTTGGTTAGGATGGATCTCACCAGAGGGACTCGTGCTGCACCTGAGCTGTGTGGTGCTGTGCAGTGCCAGCAGCAAGCCCTGCTAGAGGCATCCTGGTGGGGGTATGGGACAACAGATAGCATCCGTTATTGGGGTGTGAGCCCAGATTCCGGGCAGAAGGCTGCCCCTGCTTTCATCTGCTGTCAAAGCAAAATCAAACATGGGGAAAGGAGCCCTGCAAACAGCGGTGCAGCCTCAGCTCTCCCCAGCAGCCTCCTCCAGCCACTTGGATGGGGTATCCCCAAGCCCTGGTCGAGGTTCCCAGGCTCTGAGTTGCTCCAGGTTGGGTCTCCGGAACCCTTTGCAGAGCCGTCGGGCCCCAGGTGCAGAAGGGGACGAGGGAAGCCCTCGCACAGGGCAGGGACCCTCAGTGGGTGCAGGAGGCATCCTCCGATGGCAGGAGGAGCTGGTCCCAGGCCCGCGGCCCCAGCTGTCAGTCTGAGCGATGAATTACATGCTATAAGAAGGTGTTGACAGGAGCAGCTGGACATCAGAGAGTGATGAAAAGGGAACAAAATTCATTCCGAGTTCAGACAGACTGGCTCGTTAGGGGCACCGACGGCAGAGGCCACAGAAACACTGCTCCATCTCCTGGACATCCACAGAACCGGCTCCCGAAAATCCGCCAAAGCACGCGGAGCCCCTTCCCCAAATCGGAGCAGCTCCGGGGAACACAGCGCATCCCAAACCCGCAGCACCGCATGGGCTTCCATTCGGATATCTTCAAAAGAAGCCGAATCAAAGGGGGTTTTGTCCCTCTTGTTTAAGGCTGTAATTTGTATAAACTGTACGAAGAGCACTGGGGGTTGGGGGGAGGGGGGGGAGGGAACGGGAGCATTTGGCGTCAAAACAATTATCTCCATTTTAATGCAAACTAAACGACATGCTAAAGGGGAATTGTTCCCTACATATGTACAGCAAGCGAACATTAAACCATACGGCTAATAATTAACCGGCTCGGCGTTGCCCTTGCTGCGTTAAATACAAGGGTGTCCCCTTGCATCGAATGTGCGGAGAAGTTTGAGGACGAGGAGGTCCCGTATGAGATTATTCCTAAAGCTGTGAGAATAGCAAAGAGATGCTTTTTGTTTTTGGTTGTCTTTTTTTTTTTTAAAGCCAAACTACTTCTTGGCATTCGGAAAAGTTGGCAGAGAGAAAAAAGTGTGGGTCCTCCCCCCACCTCCTTCTCCCTCCCTCCCTCCTCCTCTCCTCCCTTCCCTCCCTTCCACCTCTTTCTGCTGCCGGAGAAAAAGAATAGCAAATTCAGAGAAAATTTCATTGAGGTTATTCAAAGAGTTTTTCATGGATTATTTACACAAGTGCTGTTCAAACAGCCTTTGTCTGAACATCCCTTGAAATCTGCACCCAATCCTTTCAGATTCAAAGCAATAGCTCAGGGGAGACAAAGGGGAGCGGCTGACATGGGTTTCCTCTGCAAGTGAATGAGAGGTCTGGCTAAACACAGAAGGGCTTTGGGATCACAAGCGTCCTTTCAGCCTGGAAAATAAACACTAAGCTGAAGCCGGGCAGCTGTAGCTCCGGGCAGCCTGGCTCGTCCAACACCGTGCGAGAAGGATGGGGAGGCAGAGGGCTGGAGCAGCACCCCGTCCTACATCCCCAGCCCCAGAACTGTTGCCTCAGTGATGGAGACAGGGCGACCCGGTGTCCTGGACCACCACGTGCCTGCGCTTCCAACCACGGCACACGTGGACACACACGACACGTTCTTCTTCCTTTCAGGCCTTTCTCATCCCTTCCCACCGGCTTTCACACCATCTCTGCAAAACGGATCACTTCTTCCTCTGCCCGATTCTCCTCCTCTTCCCATCTCACCGCTCTCAACCTGTTCTGGAAGCCACCACAGGTGTATGCATGAACAGAAACTCAGCACTCTGCTGCAAACTGGGGATAACACAGCCCTGTTTCCAGGTGGCCCAGTACTGGTGGGTTGGCTGAGTCCGTGTACCCAGAAATCCTCCACTCTTTGCTCTTTCTTCTTTAAAATATTGATTATTCTTTTATCAGTACTGACACTTGGAATATAGCTATCCATAGAATCACAGAATCATGGAACCATAAGGTTGGAAAACGACCTTTAAGACCATCTAGTCCAATAAAGTCCAATCATAAGACCATACAAATGCCCAACCTCTACTTGAGCCCTGCTGAGCTCACAGCCATCATTACAGAGCAGCCGCTTCTCGCCCACCTGTGTGTCCACAAAGATGTTTTATCTCTCGTCAGCTCAGAACTGACCAGGTTTTCCAGCTCCATCCATCACTAGGAGACAGAGGAAAGAGATCTCCCTGCAAGTCTGTTTTATCCCTCCTTGAGTCCCACACAATCCTTGAGCCTTATTGAATTATCACTTTTAACTTTCCCGGAGCGACGCTGCTTGTGAGTCACCTTTAGTACTGGAGAAGTAGCCTCTCCTAGCAAGAAGATTAAAATCCCATCAGTTGTTATTCACGTGTTATTTAATGGCATTTTTTTCCATTATGTATTTATTTATTTTTAAGTTGCTCGCTTTGAATCTCGAGTTGGCGTTTCTAATACTGAGTGTAGTTTCTAGTTTGCTCTCCTAATTGGAACGAAATAAAAGCAGAATGGAATTTTAGAGCGGGTATTTTGATGCTTATTAAAGGAATGACAAAAAGCAAACCCCAACAACCAACAACCAAACCCCAATAGGGCACCTGTTCAGGATAACAGCAGTAAGGCAGCACTTTTACTGAGGGAAACAGAGAAAATGGAATTGAAGACAGCTCTGTAGTTCAGCTAAACACCAGCAGCCCTCAGATTCCATGGTGTGCCCTGCTGAAGCCCATTACCTTTCTTGCAATGATTCGGCATCCAGGTGGTCGCAGATTTGACCATGTCTTGAGGACAGGTTCCTCCTCTTCTCATACAGTTGTTTCCTCATCCACGGGGAAGATGGGATGAGAGGAGATCTGCAGATTCTGTGAGTTTTTTGGCTATGGCAATCTCCAGTTTGAGGGAGGACATCTCTTCTTAGTGAGCAGACAGGTCTGAAGATGTGCTCCCATGTCCACGTCCAACAGAGATCTCATACCACAAGAACATTCCTCCAAGGCAATGTGACCAAGGCCTGAATGGAAACCTGAGAAAAAAGGCTGTTATTGGTGAAATGGAAAGCAAAATGGAAGCGGGGAGAAAGGGCAAGATGGGGAGATAAGAGAGAAAAGACTGAGAAATCTACAGAAGGAAGATGAATGGTGGAGATAGCATAAAGATAGATCATAACGATCTATCCTGGATCATGGAGATCATGGAGAAGTGGCAGGGAGCCAAATGGAAGAGTCAGAAGAGAAAGTGCTGCAGAAAAGAGAAGGCAGGTATGGGAGGAGGAGGAAAAGAATGATGGGGAGGGAGCAGGAGGACACAGCGTGGAAAGAGGGTTGGAGAGAGGAAGAAAGAAAGCGAGGAGGAGGGTGGAGAACAAAACTTTCCCCCAAGTGTAGTGCAGCAATCCTCTTGCATCTCTCGGACGCATGTAGAAGGGGCTTGGAAGAATCTTCATTTATCAGGAATTCAATTAAGTGGCATAACCAATTATTAATTTTATAGGAATTATTTGTGCAGGAAAGCCTGGAGCGAGGAAAGGACTCCCGGAGCCATTTCTCCTGCCAGTGCCCCGGGTCAGGTAGGCACTGGCAGCGCAGTCTCACCAGTTGAGATATTAATGAGATGCCTCAAGGTGCAAATGATAGTTTAATAGGTGTTACTTAACGGGAGCGCCCCTCGCCTGCACACGCCAGCGCGCGGCTCCTGACGAGGCTGCCTCCTTGTTAGGATAAGTAATTAGAATGTAGGAACACTCACTTTGACACTTTAATAAAGTGTCAGCCATCATCAATTTAGTATTTAATAAAAATAAAATTAAATATTTACTAGGTTTTCATAGCATCGCATTTTAAATACATATTCCTCAAATTTAGGTGGTTTCAAATGAGGTCCCGCCAGAACTCTGGCCTCAGAAAATAAGTCCCATGATTTCTTTCTTGGGCTTTGTCTTCCATGGGGAGGAGGGACATTCTTACGGACATCAAACCCACAAAGGGAAATGTTGCTGAAAGGGGTGGAGAAGAAGTTTCTTCCTTTGTTCTCTGGGCCTCCATGTGCTGTTTGGAGGCTGAGGATGAACCGAGTTGAGCAAATCTACCCCTGCAATCAGCGGGGCTGTTGGGACGTAGTGAGGCAGCCCGGCAGGAGCAGGTCCCTCCCTGCTCAGCATGGATGTTCCATCCCAGCACAGCCAAACCTACTGCATCTCCCTGGGATGGACCTCCTTCACAGCTCTTCCCTTGGATGTGGGGACTTGGGCTGGGGATGTTAGACTGCCCCAGCCAAGGCATGGGGGCAAGTAGAGCTTCATTCCTATTTTGTCGGAAAGCAAAGCCTTTCAAATCAGATGTTGGAAAGAAAACAGAAGAATATCCAGAAGGTTAAAGCATGCCTTAAGCTTCGAGGGAAAGTGAGAGCTAAAATAGCTTGAGTTTGTTCCCTGCCCATCTGATCATTCCAAATTCTCTTTCCTAGGGATGCCCACCTGGCCAAGGACAGCCCAACATTGCCCTGCCATGCTGGGCCCCCAGCATGCCAAGGACATCCAGGCGACAAAAGGCCGCAGGTAACCCCCAAGACACATGGTGTCACAGCCAGATATCTGCTTGCAGACCTTCCCCAGCCCCTCCTGTCTCTTGAAACAGAGCCCTTTTGGGGCATGCAGAGCTCAGCCCCATGCACGTACATCGTGACCATGTTCTGGAAAACAAAAGGAAGCTGCGGGAGGAGGTGCCGGTCCCTCTGGTCGAGGCGCCTGGCAACACGGAGCGGGTGTTCCCCAGATAGCCCCTGCTGACAAGGGATCCTGTCTCGGAGGCCGTGAGTCAAAGCTGAAACCCGGGCAACAATTCTTTCCACGGGAGCTGCAGCCCTGTGCTGTGAGCGGTGCTGGCACCTGCTCTGGGGGGCGGCACATCCCGACACGCGTCTTCTGATGATGATGATGATGATGAAGAAGAAGAAGAACCCGGCGCTGCTCGGACGGCTGCGGGTCAGAACGCGATGCTCCGCTCAGAGCCTGGAAGGAGAAGCGGCAGCGGGGGCAGAAGCCGGACTCGATGGGGCGAGCGGGGCCGGGGAGCCCCGGGGCGGCCGTGGAGCCGGCGGGGACGTGGAAGCCCGTGGGTTCCGGGCGCGGTGCTGCGGAGAAGAGTGCCACGCAGTGTCCGTGCCGGGCCTTACAGCGGGCAGACAGCGCTGCGAGCCTCGCGGCTGCTCTCGTGTTGTCTTTTGCTCCCCGACGCTCACGGCTCCGCGAGGACACCCACCGGCTCTGCTCCCTGCTCCAGGCTCCCCACGTTTGCTTTCACCCATCTGAGCTGTGCCATCCCAATGCACGGAGGTTGCTTGCTGCTTCCTCAGGTGACCGCAGCCCGTCCTTACGCAAATATAAAGAAACATCTTTACATTTAAAAAACAGGGCTCACCCAGTCGCCCCCAGCAGCGCCTGTCATTTGGCAGCCTATGGGGCTGCTCTGGCCTCAAACACCTTTCGTGAAGTTCGTTGAAAGTCTGTCTGATAAAGGAAAAGCAATTAGGAGATGGCTTGGAGCTCAGGCTGGCTTCAAAGGCTCCGTGTGAAGCACGAAGCAACACCCAGAGCTTCTGAAGAACCTGAACCCACAGCATGCCGACAGCCCTCTCTGGGAGCCCTCACTGCCCACCTGCAAGTGAGACGCAGAGTGCTCTGCTTTGCAGGACCAGCCTCCTCGTGCAGAGCTCCTGGGCTGCAGTACAGCTCCTGACAGCCTCAGCAGGGTGTCAGCACGATGCAGAGGCCACGGGAGGTCCAAAGGATGGCAGAAGATGGCTGTGCTGCCCACGCTTGGTTTGCAAAGCACCACCGAGGGAGCACCCAGCTTTGCCTGGTGACGCTGGCAGCCCCTCACCCACGTTTTCACAGGCAAACCCCCACACTGACCTCCTTCATGAAACACGAGGCAAATGCCTGCAGTCTGATTTACATCTGACGCGGGATCCTGTTACATTCGAAGCAACCCCTGTCAACGCTGAATCTGTAACAATCAATAAAGAGAGAGAGTTTGTTTATTCGGTGTTGAGTTGTTGGTTTTTCGTTTTTTTTTTTTAGTGTTTTCTCATCCCTAATAGCGTTATTTTGCTGCTCCAAGTTTTTCGAGTTTTGTGATCGCCTCCCCTCCCTTCCTTGTTTTCTTTCAGGACAAGCTGTCTTCTTCTCGCATCTTTTCACCCGGCCACTGCAAATGTAAAACTGTAAATTGCGGGATTGTGCAAATAGCACTAATAGCATTTGCATAAAAATTGGTTGCGAAGAGCAATTAGCACTTCATTAATAATCAATGAAGGGCCAATTTACACATTGCCCAAAAGCAAATTGTAAATTCAATTTTGTCTATAATTGAGCATTTGGTGCTGGGCAACTGCACTGGGTGCCAGAAGAAACCCACACAGCAGTACGAGGGTCAAACCTCCATCAGTTCACATTTCAGGTATCTCCCAGCCCGGCTCCTTGGGCCCCAAGCCAGCACCTCGCTGACAAAGGAAGGATGCTCCGTGAGGTCCAGTGGTTTCAGCTTTCACAGAGAACACATCTCAGCCCATTACCAGCCCTGCTCACCTGCAGGCCCTACTGCAAGGAGCACGGATGCTGCTTACAGGGCAGAGGTCCTACTCCTGTCCCAGCGCACCCTGCGGTGCAGCCGTGGGGAAGGGGAGATGTCTGAAGGACGTGGGAGAAGAGACATCACTGCTGTGGTCCATAGACCTGCACATCTTCCTGCTGCAGTGTCAGCCAGCGCCCTGCAAGGGACACCAGAGCTCACCCAGAGGTAAAAGTCTCATGTGGGCCTGATGGGTTAAGTGAACGCTGTCCCATTCACTCAGTCTGCCCTCTGTTACTGCCATCCACACCTTTCTGAGACATCCCAAATGTGTGCAGCTGCTAGGATGCAAAAAACTCATTCATCCTTGCTTCTCCTCTTTGATTTCGCCATCACTGAGTCATTCCTGGGTTTCTTTGGGCCCTCAGGAGGTGTAGCCTTCAGTTCCCCCTCTAGCAGCATCCACAAAACCAGGCAGCTCACCCAGGGCTACAACTTCCCCAGTCCCAAATTCACTGCTATCTCATCCTCCACTTAAAAGGCACAGCCAGCTCTGCTTCCCGAATGGAGTCTGACTCTAAACCACTTGACATCTGAGGTTTCCTTATCACATTTTACGTGGATCTCATGAATCTGGTGAAAAGCCCGACGATCATTTAGCAGGGGTTGGTCGCTTTATCTATTTTCCATAATAATTTGAATATTATTACAATGGCACCTTTCATCTGGGGATATACATGCACTTTACATATGTTACATTAATTTCACCGATGAGCTGGGGAAGCACTCCTTATCCCTATTGTGTGGGTGAGGAAATGGAAGCACAGAGATGAAATACTGCTTGCCCAGTATCACGCAGGAAGTCTCTGACAGAGCCTGGAATAGAAATCACATCTCCCATGTCTTATGCAGGGGAATATCCTCACGTCCCTGCCCAGTAGCTGAGCCCTTAATCCAGACTAAGGCAACCACACAGGACCTGCTTTGCAAGAGCAGCGCAGCGCCGGCGATGCTCTGCTCTGAGACATCTCCCAAATTTCCCCCACCTTGAAGGCCCTCCGTGAGCAGCAGCTCCGGATTCTCAGGGGGAAGGAGGGGCTCCGGGAGCAGTTTCCATCTGAGGTGGATGTTATTGCTTGCTGTAAGCAGATGCTCGATGTGGGATGCTCAGGACTTCTCAGCTTTCACCCCACGCTGTCCCACCTCCCTTTCTCCTTGCCTGTTCAATCCACCTCCACTGAGAGATTGAATTTACAGTGGACTCGAACACATTTAAATCCATTTATTGCAAAATTACTTTTCAATAATTACATCACTGTGCTGACTGTGTTGCATAATGAAATTAGCGTGAGAGATATTAGGAAGAATATAAAATTATAAAAAATATTGAAATACCTCTTTCCCCGTCTGCCTTAGCACAGCCCATAGCTTAACTGGAAAACGACCGTTGCTCCTGGATGGGATTTAAATGCACCAAGTGTAATTTTATAACGTCTTTTATATAAATTAATTATAATGGTTATTGCTGCTTTACATTATTAGATTGAAATTTGCCTCCACTCCAGCGCCTCAAAAGAAAGCTGCACCCATCTTGCTCAGTGGTGCTGTGAGTTCCCATGGCACAGAGCCTTTCTCCCCACGTTGGCACCACCGACACGTTTGAGGTTTGGAGCTTTGGAAATGCGTTGGCATCACAAATCCTTCAACCCCAAACCCAGCCCAAGGCCCCGGCGCAGTGCTGGCAGCCCATGGGCATCACTGGCTGACACCCAGAGCAAAGGTTGCTTTTCTGAACTTCAGCCATACGGATGCCTAGGCTGGGTTAAGCAATCCCACCCAAAAGCTGTATCCAAAGAGCTAGCTGTGGTAAAGGAGCTTCATTTTGCCTATCCCCACTTTTCCATGCAGTCGTTGCATTTCTGCTCTAATATCTGGGTTATCACACACACACGCACACAAAACAGCATGGAAAGAAGGCACTGAGCTCCCAGGAGGCTAACGAGCTGCTCGATAGGCTGGACAAAACACCCTGGTGCAAAGCAGAACGAAGACACAGCAATGTGCTTTTACTGCCGCTTAATACTCAATAGAAGTCCAGTAATATTCAATTTGTGACGTTATTTGCACATTGAATTAATCGAAAGCTAAAGGGCTAATGAGTTATGGAAAGTAGCACATAGCTTAATTGTAACAACAAGGGCTGTTGGGCTATGCTCAGTCCTGGATAAAAATAACATTCTGCATCCAGCATTGCACAGCAGATGGGCAGGTCCTAAGGAAGTTGAGAAGTCCTGGCAAGCAGCAAACTGAACATTGCAAGCTATCGGAAAACCTGTTCTTTAAATACCCAAAGTTGCCCTTTTTTTTCCCCTCCTATTCCTCCCAAAACACCACAGTGTTTGATAAGCAAAGCTCAGAAATGCCATGATGACCAATGGGAAAAAAATAGAAATAAAAATAGTTGACCTTGTGCAGTTCTCTGAGGAGGTGATTGCGCCGTTCCCCACTTCAGAGGGTGCAGAACTCTCCCGAAAGCCTTCCCTGGGAAGAAAAGCCACAGAGGATCCCATCTTCTGCATGGCCTCGTGGATCCCAGCCCTCCTCTGAGCCCTTTATGTAATGTCATGGTGCGGACAGCTTGAATCATTAAATCACAGAATATCCTGAGTTGGAAGGAATCCATAAGCAGCACTGAACCCAACTCCTGGCTCCAGACAGAACTACCCAAAATCTGACCTAGGCAAAGAAAACAAACATGGAAAGTGACACAACCAGCAAACTCAGCCCCAGCATCCCCAGCTGGACTACACCAGCAGTCCCGCTCTTCCTCCCAGCACTGCTTTCCCCAGCTCCTGGATCAAGCATGGAGCTGGCAGGAGGAGGGCTGGAGCCCTGAGCCTCACACAGGGCAGGCTGGGGTCAGGAGCTCAAGAGGTTGCACCGTGTAATAGAAAAAGTGAATAAATCTAAACAGCACTTAATTTATTGACGAAATAAGAAAGTCTGTTTAATGTGGAAAACATAAGCAAGATCAATAGCAGAGAACGCAAATAACTAAAGCTATTGACACTTAAGTATTTTAAGCCTAATTGCAGGCATATGCACTTTCTAAGGGTATCTCACCTTCTAATAGCACCCTTGAGATTACGGGGTTAATTGATGCAGCTGTTTACTCCTGGCTCACGTGGTCCAGATTGGGATTCCCCGGAGGATGCTATTAAACTAAAGTGTTTAATGAAGTGCTAAAGAGTGGAGCTTCTAATATTCTCCCCTTGAAGGAAATTGAAAGGAAACGGGAGCAAACTTCTCTTCCCCAGGTAGGAACTGCAGCTCACATTGGAGAACATCACCTTATGGTCCTCATGGAGGGAGGCTCACATGCAGGGCCAAAGGGCTTCTTTAAACTGAGAAAGAAGCTCGGGCTTCTTTAGACTTAAGCTTTCTTAGACTGAGGCTGTGGGAAGGCATTTTGGTGATTTCCTCCTATGTCACAGGTAGGAGAGCAGACCCACCTGCATGCTCTGCATTTCACGGATGCCTTAACTTGACCATGGTGGGGCAAACCAAGACTGCCAGAAAAGAGGCTCTTAGAATCACAGAATCATGAAGGTAGGAGAAGACCTCTAAGAGCCCCAACCCCAACCCATCTCACCGTGCCCACTGAGCACGTCCCCCAGTGCCACATCTGTGCAGCTGTGGAACACCTCCACGATGGTGAGCCCAGCGCTCCCTGGCCAGCAATGCCAGTGCAACACAGCTCTTCCTGAGTAGAAATTGTTCCTGCTACCCAACCTGATTCTCCCCGGTGCAACTTGAGACCATCACCTCTCGTCTGCCAGCTAAGCACCATGAAGGCAGGTTTAAGCTAAGCTCTTTTATTTCACAAACAGAGCATACAGTCAGATAGCAGGGCTCTGCTGGTGTGTGCTAACTCATTAAATGACAGCAATTTAATTGCCTTCAATTGTCTGTCCAGCCCCTCCACCCCACGCTGGCTGCTGTCCCCCCTGGAGCCACTCCTCAGCCCTATGGGGACGATGTGGGAGCACCGCAGCCCCTGACACCAGTCCTGCAGTGCCGACAGCCAGGATGGAAAAACGAGGAGAGAGGAAAATTAGCAAAGAAACACGCAGCCAGCCTCAATGCCGATTCACTAAAGAATAATTATTGTCCTCTCACACGTCTTGCTTGTCCTTCTGACAAATAGAATATTTCTGAGAGAGCGCATCTCCCTTTAGCACCGCTGTCTCTCGCGCCCTTCCTCTGTCTCGCTAGCTCCGTCTCTGCCTCCCTGATACCAACTCTGACAAACCGTGCCATTCTGATGGAAAATTCATTAGTCGTCCTCTTTTTTTTTCCCTTTCCCATTTTCCCAGTCAGCTTCGCGCCTGATCTGTCAGCCTCTTCCATCCTGATTATCTGGAGACGCCAATTTCAAAGAGACATCTTAATAGTGATGTCAACGAATTAATTAGATGTGTTAATGAGCTAAAAGCAACCCAAATTAAATTAATGCAGTAATAAGCACAGACAGCAAAATTAGCTCCAATTTCTGTAAATGATTCTGAACTGTACACAACATCTCATCCTGCTAGAACATTACCATCCCCCAAAGCTAATCAAGAACTCCAGTGCAATTAACTGCTTAATTACAAAACACACACACAGCTCATAGATCCAGCAGCAGGAGGGGTGCGCCGCGCTTCCGAGTGAGCGGAGAAATTCTCTGCAACCAACACCATGCATCAGTCCTGCAGGAAAGGCTGTGGTCCCAGACAGGAGAACCCCAAGGAGCCCCAAAACGGGGTTATTTGGAGCCAGGGCAGGGAATGGGGCAGGCGTGGGGCTGGGAGCATCCCATGCTCTGGGCAGCAGCAGGGGATTGTGCGTGTGGCCAAGGATGCTTGTTGGCCAACCGCTCAGTGTTGGTTATTGTGTTGATCAGAGCAGGGGCTGCATGGCAAAGCCTAATTGTCCAGCTCTGCTCGTGTCCCCTGGGATGAGGTGGGAGCCACTAATAACATTGCGGAGCTGCTCAGGTATCTGATTAGTGCTAATTGCAGGCGGGAAGAGAAAGGGAAGGAGCGGATGGGGCTGTGATGGAGGGAAGGGGGATGAGGATGGTGGAAAGAGGGAATCGCTGAAGGGGACCGATGGGAATCCTCAGGATGGGGAGAAAGGGGAGCTGAGGAGGGGAATGATGGATGTAAACAGAAGAAAAAAAAAAAAAAAGGAAAGAAAAATCATGCAAACAAAGAACCAGAGCCAGAAACACAGAGAAGGAAGGTGAGATAAAAGGGCATTGTGCTGCCAGAAGCCATGGATCAGTGGACAGAAGGGTGATGGGGACATGCAGTCAGCTCTGTCCCAGCCCCACCATGCTGGTGGCACTGGGCTTAATGGGAAATGCTGGTGGGTGATACTGTTGGTGCAGAGATTGTGGAGTCATCAGCCCTCAAGCAAAGGAGGAATATTGCTGATAAAGAGGATAGCTTCCCTATGCCTTTCTGAAATACCTGTTGATATGGGCCTCTTGTGCTTTCTACAGACCATAAACATTCCTCTTGCCTATTCCTTCTGACAGCTCTCATGCCATTTCACAACAATCTAACTTTTCCCTGGGGCGGATAAACCAGAACTGTCCACCACTCAAAGAGCAAAACCAAAAATTGTATCACGCCAGAACAGGCGCTGTGCAAACAGAACCCCATGGGCTGTGATCTGCATAACTGGGTTTGAAAGGAGGTGCAGATCGTGGCAGCAAGAAACGGAGAGGCTCTTGGCTTTCTCTGCATTGTCCTCACAGTGTGTTGGGGGACCCATCATACACACCATGCTTTGGCACAACAGCCAACAGTGGTCAGGTCTTGGAGAAGAAAAAGCTCAAAAAGATGTTGGTTTTGCTGTTAATGATAAAAGGAGAGCTGAAGTCGGGCTAAGAATGGCACATAATGGAACACACTAAAAGCTCTATACCTGGCCAATTCCTCACAGCTCTCACTGTGATTTTAATAATTGGAGACATTTTTTAAGACAAATATCACTTTCATGGGGATGCTAAGGATGCCATTGCAGACTCTGGAGGCTTCGTACCGTGGCAGTGACAGACAAATTTCTTGCTCTCTGCTCCTGACATATAACTAAGGACCTACCTAATGGAAGAGCCCAATAAAAATAAGATGTTTCAGAAAGCACATGCTGAAACGATCTTCTGGAATTGGGCCTAATAGCAAGCCCTCTGTGCCAGGAATATGCAGCTCATCTTCATGCCGTTTCCTCTCTTCCCAACTTTATAAACGGGGCAATACGATGCACTCTCCAACTAGAAAAATCAATGGAGATTTCCTTGGCCAGGAGCCCCACGGGCAGCCTGCAGCAGTGCAGGACAGGTCCAAGGGGGGGAGACTCGTCTGTAACGCCACAAATTGACCTCACTTTAAAATGCTGGTCCTTGACATGTCAGCATATGTCTGAAGAACCCGCGGTGGACTTGGCAGGTGGCTGTGATGTGGTGAGTACTAGGTAGGAGAAACACTTCTGAAACAGAAGTTAATGCTTGCCGGGAGAACAAGGAAATAATTGTGTCAAAACAAGCCTTAATCACTGAGTGTTACCTGTTTCTCAGTGCACATGAGTTTGCAAACACGTTTCCCATCAAAGCAAACAAGAAACACGGGCATTGGTTGGTGTGCCTTGAGAAGAAAATACTTTTCACAGGTGCCTCCTTGCTGCTGCCTGATCAATCTGCCGTCTCCTTGTATTTATTCACGATTTCTTAAACTACTGCAGCAATATCGACATTAAATACAGCTTTGGCTTATTTTTTTTCATTCATTTGTATTTTAAGTTGGCTTTATCAACCTCTCCTTGGCTTGCTCCTGCACACATAACCCACGTTTCCTTCCCAACTCCTTACTCCTGCTCCAGGTAATCACAGCACAGTCATCTTCTGCTCCCGGTGCCCTGGATGAGCTGATTTAAGACCTCACTGGGGTACGGCATGCTGTGTAACTCAAGGCAGGTAAGGGCTAAGTCTCTTTGTCCCCTTTTCTATCTCATTGCTCCCACAGTGCCATGCCTGGCTGGCGCTGTGCAGCCCACCTCTACCTTCCACCCATCCCTTCTCAAACTTCAGCTCATCAAGAGAAGGATGGTGCTCGCCCTTCTCTCCAGCTATCTTCCTTTTTCTCTTTCTCTTCCCCATCCCCACCACGGGTTCATACTCCTCCCTCCTTGTGCTCTGCTCCCTGATCACTGCTTCCCCTCTTGTCATATTCCTCACGGGGAAACAACCTGTCACACTCGTAACCTCTTTGCACCAAAAGTGTTCTTTGATCTCTGCAAACCACATTTGATGCTGAAATCCTCGATATTAATATCTTTTGTTTGTGTGTCAATGTTCTCTAGAATCTAATTAAGCAATGTTTTGAGAGCATTATATATGTTTGAACAATTTGGCGGAGCAGACAATATGAGCTATTGACCTGCAAGGATAAATGGTGCTTGCGGATTCAGAGAACTGACACGTGCCTGCTTCTGTATGCCATTTCTTCTGAAATATGTGCATGTGTAAAAAGGCCTTTTCTGTAATAATCTCTGCAAGGCTTAATCAAGGAATTTCCCCCACTCTTTGCTGCAATTGCAAAGCGGCAGATTCAGCAGGGCAGAACAGCAGCAGGTTGCAGCCAGAGAAAACAATAATAACATAAAGCAGAGCGAGTTCCACCCAAACGCTAATAACAGAGATTATTCAATCAATAGGCTCTTGCTATGAATGAGCAGGCTAAATTGCCTTTGAATGATGTAAAGATTGACAAAGTATAGGTCAGTGTAATACAACCACTTACCCTAATTTGACTTCAGCCGTCTGAATGGCAGCACGGGCTGGCAGTGGGGTCAGGTCCATGGAGTGATGCTCAGCTTGGCCTCTAGGGATGCTGGCAGGTGGATGGGGCCTGGAGAGGGGCTCAGAAGAGGGAAGGGAGGAAGAAGAGCAATGGCAGAAGCTCAGTGTTTCTGAGCTTCCTCCACCTCAACAGCAAAGCCTGGTCAGATGTAGATTCTGGGTTAGAGTTGGCCCTTTGTTAAGGAGAGCAGCACATCGATGGTGATGCTGGGAGATACCCACTGGGAAGGGGTGGCAACGCTGGGCTCTAAGAGGCTTCCCAACGCTGGGTTGGACGTGCTGTAGAGATGCAGCCTGGAGAACAGCAGAGGGGAAAACTCATGCTGTACCACACTTCTGGGCCTGCCAGGAGGCACAACCCATCACTGGAGCTGCTGATGTGCCTCTGCTCTCAGCAAGAACAAAGCTCCAGGACAGGCAGAACAGAAGTCTTACCCATCCAGCACAGCGAACTAGCAGAAAAGGATTCTGCCCCCCTGAGCAAGGCAGGGGCCAAGTCTGTGTCTTGTTTTCCCTTCCCAAGAGGCGCAGCCAACACAACTGTCCCATGTGCAGAACCCTTTCTAAACAGCACATGAAAGGCCTTACACAAGTAGTTATTAATATTAATAATAATAATTGTTGTTGTTACTAAGCCAACTACAAAAATAATTTTTCAGAGAAACAAAGTGCCCTGTCTCCCGGTGATAGATGGCAATGATGTTGGAAATTACTCACAGTGTGAATCTGGTTTCCAGTCTGGTTCCTTTCAATAAATTACAGGCTCGAGCCTGGAGTGTGCACGGTTTTAAAGTAAATACAAAGTAGGCAGGAAGTCTATTCCCCCATCAATTTTGCTCGCAGCCATTTGGGGTTTTCTCCAAATATCCCCCAGCAATTCTCAGCACATTTAGCTGGGGTGGTGGGGCTGTGCACGGGCAAATGGGGGTCCTGGTGAAAACTGGGGTGCTGGTGCAAACGTGGGCATTCCTTGGCCATCTCAGCCCAGCACCGTGGCGTCTCCCCCCGCCGTTTCCGACTCCCTCTGCACATTCTTCAATTTTACACTTTTTTTTTTTTTTAATTTTTGGGGGTTTCACCGCTGCTGTTTATCCGTTAAATTCCTTCCAGATGGGGCTGTGCTTTTCCTCCTTGCTTTACGCCGGCAGCGCACAGCGGCTGCCCACCAGCAGGTGTAGGGCTGGGCGCAGCATATGCCGAGGGTTTGGCAGAGCCGGCTGCCCGGCAGCTCCTGCGTGCATCTCGCCGGGCAGCGCTCAGCTGGGACCTGGAGCTCCTCACAAACACCATCTGGCCTTGGCAGGCCCGTGGAGCCCTTCCCAGCGCTGGCAGCCCGTGCGGATGGATGGACAGACGGACGGATGGACGGACAGATGGACAAAGGGATGAAAGGATGGATATGTGGATGGAGAGACGAATGAATGGACGGATGGGTGGGGATGGATGGATGGACAGAGGGACAGCTGGACGGACAAATGGACAGGCGTTGGGCAGATGGACGGACAGACAGATGGATGGAGAGGTGGATGGATGGATAGGCAGATGGATGGATGGACAGACAAACAGATGGATGGACAAGTAGACAGGCAGACGGATGAATGGACGGACTAATGAATTGATGGATGGACCGATGGATGGACAAAAGGACGGATGGATGGAAAGATATGCAAGCACCCAAAAAATAACGAGCAGCAGAGGAAAGCAGAGGGAGACTCACAGGAAGAACTGCTTCTTTTCCACTGTGTGTACCGAGGGATCATTCCCACACACCAAGATGGCCTCTGCAAAGCCAGCACAGTGAGACAGGAATGGGCAAATCTTTCCAGAATGCTCTTGGCTTGCAAACAGCTTGGAAAAAAAGGTTTGCTCACTCCCCTGAAACTCTCCAGTCAAATAGCAACAGATACTTCAACAGATATGCCTGGGAACATCAGTGGGCAGTATCCAAGCTCTGTGCCTCCAGGCAACAGCATCCCTGAGGGTAGCAAAAGACTCATTTTTACTCTGATGCTGCAGGTGAAGAGGTGTTATGGGTCCACATCTGAGCAGTCTACCATTGCCTGCCTCCATTCCAGTATTCTTCCATCTCCCTTGAAGACTTCATTTCTTCTAGTCAGGTCCACCACAAACTGTCTCATCAGTACAAGCAGCTTGCTCCCACACAGAGACATCAGCCATTCAAGACACTTGTGATTGAATGGCTTGAACCCTGGAATCCTGCAATCTTATGGGAAACGATTTTCATCTGGAACTGCATAAAGAACAGAATCATAGAACCACTGAGGTTGGAAAAGAACTCTGGGATCACCGAGTCCAGCCCCAGTCCAAGACACCCAACTATGGCCCTCGGTGCCACATCTCTGCAGTTCTGGAACACCTCCAGACAAGGTTACCCCGCCTCTCCCTGGGTAGCAGAGCCAGTACATCACCACTCCTTCTGAACATATATTGCTCCTACTATCCAACCTGACCATCCTCTGGTGCAACTTGAAGCCATCACCTCTCATCCTGTCACTAAATACAAAGCACGTGAAGCCCCCATTGCAGCAGAGCAGAGCATCTCACCAGATCCAATTCCTGCTGCTGCCCAGCAAACCCCGGTTGCAGTCAAATTCACACAAAATGTCTTGAAGACAAGCGTTGGTGACACTGCACTGAGCCTCACCAACACATCAGCCAACAGAGCCAGAGCCCCTTGTTACAACCTTCTCTCTTTTGAACAGGACGCCATCTGCCTTCCTCCCTGCCACATCCCACCCTCCAAACTTCAAACCAAACCAAATGGATTTGTTGAAATATCCAAACCTGTGAACCCACCCCACAGAGCACAAAACACTGCGTTTCCCACCCAGCCACTGGAGCGTTGCTGATTTATACAGAGGCGTGCAGCGCTGATGTAGTGTTTCAACAGATACATATCTCCATTCTGCAGTTATTTCACACATGGAGCGGTGTCAGGACAGGCTGACCTCCTGCCTCCCTGCATGGCGCTGTCTCCTGGGCAATGCCAGCCTGAGAGGGCATGGACAGAGGAGGAGGAGGAGAGACAGATGCTTCCCAGGCAAACAGAGAGGGGCAACGGGAGAAGAGAGCCAACAGGGACGGAAAGGAGCATGCATACACACAAAGGCAGGCAGACAAAGGGAGTGCAGGGACAGGAGCTGCAGAAAGGACTCAGCTCAGCGAGGGCTGCTCTGGGAGCTCTGTGCAGGATGCATCCAAACAGCATCCTGACGCAGCCCTGTGATAAATATTCGTTGTGCCTGGCTCTATGGCTTCAGTTTCCACCAGGTTCACCTCAATTCTTGCAGAAAATGTGCCCCAGTGTCCCTCACACCGCTCTGGCCTTCCTCCTCCTGATCTCCCATAGCCCCACTCCCGTGCAGCAAAGGAGAGAATTCTCTCTCATCAATCAGGATTGTGTTTCTCCCATGCCACGTAAATAATTTAGAAGCACAAGCATCCATGGCACTGCTTATGTGCAGCCCAAACCCAGTGCCAGGAATCTTGGGAAAAGGGCCCAATAATATTGTACCAGTCCAGAGTAATTAAAGTGCATCATTACATATAAATTTGTAATTAAACACTTTAACGTAATCATCCCGCACAGCACGATTCCTGATGAATTAATTAAAAGAACTCCAGAAATTAATGTTTTACTTGTCACCATTGTTGTGCTAGCTGTAGCCATCTCCCTGACTATTCCTGCAGCATGTTGTGAAGTAATTATGTCATTACTGGGGAACGGAAAGGCTCAAAGTCCCAAAAGAGGAGAAACTTGAAACAAAGTGCAGACAGCAACCACAGAAGGCAGAAGTGGAGAAGCACCAGCAGAGGATGGGAGCACCTTGCTGACTCCCACGTGTGTGCCATGTGTGAGGGTGCTCCCATGCTTGCTCAGGACAGGTCACCGCCTCCCAGATCCCTCCCTTATACCTCATGTTCCATTGCATTGCACTGCATGTTCTGCTTCAAACATACCGGACAATTCAGAGCCCTCAGGACCGGCCACGTCCTCCCATCCTGATGGAGACGATCCCCCGGATGCACCCCCAGCATCATCTGCCGGGGTTAAGGGGTTACAGCTGAACCTAAATGGAATTGCTGGATGCAGCAGGCATTGCTGTCCATCTATCTGTCTGTGTGCGTGCGCACGCATACATCTGCATGCAGTGTGCAGCTCTGTGCCAAAAATCCTGCCTGGGGCTGCAGGGTGCTACCACCAGCCAGAGCCCAGGCACTGACTGACAGCAAGGAAAATGGAAGAAAAGAGAAAATGTAAGGAGAGGAGAGGAGGCGGAGAGGGAGATGGGCCCATCAATGTGCTCCAGGACGGACTGCCAGCCAGCTGCATGGGGTCACCCATGGCTGCAGCACTCCCCATCCATATTTACACACTCAGGAAGGAATAGATTCTCCCACAGCATATTTCCCATGAATTATATTCCCAGTGCTGGTTACTATCACTTCTCATCCTTCTAGCAGTATCCTGGGCATCGTCTCAGTCTCACTCTGGTCTCACTCCGGTTTTCAACCCATGCAAAGCCCTGAAGTGCTCACAGCTCAGCTTGCTGGGGAGGAGCAGAAAAATTGTGGCTTTTTTGGGGTGAAGCGTGGGCAGAAAGCCAGCATCTCCAGGCTGACTCAGTTTCCCAAACTAGAGATGACATTTAAGTGAGGCATTAGTTAACATTTGTGCAGCTCTTTGAAAAAGAAAACGCTTGAGGCTTTAAACACCGCCAGTGGGAACAGATCAACAAGATTTCTAACCCTTCTGAAAAATTAAAGCTTTTGCCAATTAAGCTGGCAAATGCATGGACGTGAATCTAAAAACCTCTTGAGCTCGAGACCAAGATGGGAGCCTCCTGAGAGCAGCTCTCCTGCTGCTCCTCGTGCTCACCATGTCAGAGATGGAGCAGGGAGCCCAGCCACGCACTGCCCAGCAGCCACACGCCTGCAGCAGAGATCTGCCTGCACAGAGCTGCTGCTCCTCACGTCGCCACGTACAGCAGGAACGTGCAGATAACGTTGCCTCCTAGATTGCTTCAACTGACATTGCAAAAATGTCATCGTAAAGCGTAATTTCCTTTAATTTTTCAATTAGCCCTCTAATTTGGGTTGCAGCTCCGACGCCACGAGCTACCAGGGATCTCCAGATATATTCACACCAATATACCTATTGCCTACATTTGGGTGATGTCTATGGCTTCAGTGATTAAATCTCCTCATCAGCTCTGGAGCAGCCGTGATGGATGGCAAAGCAAAATGTGTGACACCTGAACATCCTTCCTTATCCCTTCCTGGCTTGGCCCTGCTGATCAGTGCCCAGCTGCAGTGGGACACCACATCACTGCGTGCTTGGGATGCAGCCTTGTGCATATCCCTGGACAGGGGAAAGGATAAAACCCACATGTGTAAGCACAGAAAGCATACAGGCATCACACATCTGGACAAGGATAAGGGCAAACACCCACATCATTGCAGGATCTGAAAACCAGAAGCCTCCAGCAGCACGGTGTGCATGCAGTGCACTGATGGACATGGCACACATGCTATGATGCATTGCCTGAGCACAGGCACCCAAAGCAACGCCACCTCCAGGCGCCAGTCCTGGATGAAACCATTTATTCCATCACCTGCAGTGGCCACTCAGTCCTTCAGTGCCACCACAGGGATGGGGCAACCACAGCCCCACTCACCCCACACACACATTTGCCCCAGGAAGGGTCCAGCTTGCAGTGCTGGGGGCTCTTCCTGACCCTTCCCCATCCCTGTAGGAAAGCCTTACCTTTCGGAGCAAGTCCAAGATATTAATTAAGATAAATCTACCTCAATTTTGAGATTCTCTTATCATGTAATTTATCAAAATTATGTTAATTATTTCTGTAGGGCAGCAAAATTATTACCTCTTCCGTGTCTGATTTGTATTAATATTCATAATTTAATAATTCAGCATCCAAGCCATCTGGTTTGGGGAGCCACGCTCCTTCCCCTCCCTCTGCCGAAGCCAAACTGCTGCAGCCTCACCGCTCCCCAACGTTCCCCACCTAAAATGCAGCACCATCTCTGCCACTGCCATCCCCCAGTGTGGCTGTGGAGCCTTGTGGGTCCCACAGCCCGGAGAGCAGAGCAGCCCCTGCCCTGTGCTGGGCTGAGCCTCTGTCACCGGCGCTGTCTCAGCCCGGCAGGTGAGCTCAGCTGAATTGACATTTTCCACACTTTGTGATTTTTACACTGTAATTTGACATAATTAATGCCTACATTACTGCTGATAATTTAGCTAGTTAATTAAACTCGGAGGAGATAATTAAGGAGAGGCTACTGCTTGGACTGCTAATTGTTTTTGTCATTATTTTAGGGGCCCGACAGCTGCCGGCTGAGTCATCCTCCCCATCAGCTGACGGCCGCACGTGAGCGGTGCTGCGGGCGCAGGGCTGGGGGCAAAGCGGTGCGTGCAGATGGCGAGGGGCTCTGCGGTGTGCAGCCCCACGGCTGAGGGCAGGCGGTGTGGTTCTGTGCTGGAAAGCAAAGGAAAGTTGTCAAGAGGTGGATAGCAGTCAAACATTGGATTGGGATGCCCAGGGAGGCGGTGGGCTCATCGTCCCTGGAAGTGTTCCGGAACTGAGGAGATGTGGCACTGAGGAACGGCTGGAAGGCATGGTGGGACGAGCTGCCTTGAGCTCGGGGATCTTACAGCTCTTTCCCAACCTTAAGGACTCTGTGATTCTACAATTCTATGATTCTACAAGAGCATGCCCAATGTCTTCCTCCTCTGTGTCACCGGACCATGGAACACCCTGTGTGCCATCAGCTCGTGGTGCACAGGGCACACGTTGGGGCTCACATGGAGCTGAAGCACTCGCTGCCTGGCCTGCCAGTGAGCAGAGCAGAGGCCTGCAATTCCCTGTGTATCAGTGCCATCTCCTCATCCTGGACGTAAGGAAAACCAATCCTTACCCTTACCCTCCTGCACTAGCAGCACCATGTGGCTTGGCAGCACGAGATTTCTCATTTTTGGGAGCTCTTCATCTGCAGATAAATCCCTAGTCAAAGCAGAAGTAGACAGGTGACAGCCCCACCTGGTCCCCAAAGAGAAAAGCACATCGTCGGCGCCGTGTCCCTACTCTCTGTGCCCTTGGTCTTGCAGAGCCCTGTGCCAGCCCCCATCAGTACCCCATACACCCATACAACCCCTGCACCTCTCTGCTGACCCACACATTGCTGCACAACTCCCCCCACTGCCTGGCTCCCTCTGTGCTTTGCACTATGATCCTGACTTCACAATCCAGAGATAGGGAAGGAGAATGGTGATTAGCAGATGCCCCTCAAATAATTTGATTAATCACCTAAGCCTCATTCAGTACTGCTGGCATCCTCCAAATCAAAGCCTCTCTTGCAATGCTGTGACAAAAAAACATGGAGCTGTGGAAGGGTTCAGCCAAGCATGGACCAACACGGGAGCTGGCAAAATGTTCCCTCAATATCTCTGCAGTCAGAGGCACGAGATGTGTAACAAATTTCACAGGGGCACATCTCTCCATGTTAAGAGGAGACACTTTGATTTCTGCCTCTCTGCATCTCCAACAGCAACTCCAGCCCCATCCTCCTGCACTGGTTGACTTCTGGTGGAACCTAAAGATCCTCTGCACGATGGGCTGCACAGACAGCACCACGGAGCACCTCAACCCAAACAGGACCATACGTGTAGGCTGCTCCAAAAGTAATGCCTCCTATTTATCTCCACGGAAATTACGACAGCTACAGGGAGCACAACAGCACTAACTGATGGAGCGAATTCTCAACTACAAAGCACTATTTTTCAACGCAGTCACCATCCTTAGCCACGAGTTTTCACCAGCAGTGAACAAGAGCCTGCACGTTGCTCTTGTAGATATCTGCACCAAGCAGAACTGTTGTCACTGCTGAAATGCAGCACCCACATGCCCAAGCTGGGATTTGTCCCCCAGAGCTGCCCACATGGCAGCTTGAAGGCGCTCGTGGTGGGGATGCATGCAATGCACACGGAGATCTACAGCTGAGCAGAGCCTGCGGCTGAAATGCAGCAGAATTTCACGCTGCCCTTTCACCTCTCCTCCTGCTATCTCCCAGCAAGATGAATCCCTCAGCTCCGACAAGCTCAGCATCACCGTTCTGCAGAGCCAAGCTGCCTCCTCCGAGCCCATCCTCAGCACACACAGGAGCAGTGCCCTTAGCACCGGAGGGAGCGAGACGCAAAGGAAGAGCATTAGGTGGAGTGAGAGATAGCAAGAGCACGGCCGTATCAGACGTCTCCAGGCAAGATAACACGATAAATAATCAATCAATCCCTACAAAATCCTTAAGTGCTTGATGTATCCTCCTGCAAATTGAATCACTTCTCCTACCAGGAAGTTCTCTCTTGTAAATAAATGAGAGCAGAAATGGCCCATATTGAAAAATAATGTTGTTAAAACCACTGATTAAGTTTTACACAAGCATATGAGAGGAAACTAAAAGGTTTTAGCTTTTTAATTTAAGAAATGAGGAATATGATATAATTTCAATTTGTGATGAGATAAGATGTTCTCGATATTGTGGCTTCAATTGGATTATATCCTAATGTACTTTTATAAAGTGTCAGGCTAGCTGCAGATTAAGGTATGTGTGTAATATTCTTTATTAACAATTTAATGGACTTGCTTTCACTCTATCCATCTTAATCAGTGTTTCCAGTCCACCTGGGAGATCTAGTTAGTGCAGAACCTGAAACTCCAACCTGATGAAAGAGGGAACTCAGTGATCCGTCAGTGTCAAAAACGAGAAGGAAGCACTGATAAAAGACTGCTGAGGATCATCTTTAACCTCCTGTCATCGGCTCCACTCCAAAAGCGCTCAACCACCGCTCCTGGAGTCACTCAATGAGACAAATGCCCTCCTCAGCCCCACGTCCTTCTCCTGCCAGAATATTAAATGGCCTTTTGGCAGCTCACAGGACTTGCTGCGTCACCAAACCCAGTGGCCTGGTCTGGAGCGATTCACTCCATAATCCCATTTTACACTCAAGCAGTGGTGTGAGAGCACCCTGGCCGTGTGGGCTCTCCAGCTTTCACCCACAGCCCTGCCTTGGTTGGAGGCTTCCAGCTCATTTCGTTCTGTGATTTATTCATGGCAGGTTTATATCTGCACGTACTGGTATCAGTATTGGCCTTTAGCTTAACTAGCTCTTCTCTCTCCCTCCTGTTTATCTGCCTGTGCAATCACATCTCTCAGCCTTCATGTGGTTAGGCTGCATCAGCCGTGCTTGTTCAGCCACCTCAGAGGGACATCCTGACACCTTCGCCACTCTCTGCATCTCTTCCTCTTTTCCAGAGGTGCCATCTCTGCACACAGCTCCCAGCAGCTTCTATTGAGCAACCTCTCACTCCAGCATGGCACTGAGGAAAGGCAGAGCCAGGGCAGCCCCCCAGGCATCCTCCTCTAGGCAAAGGGCATAAGATCTCAGCACAAACAGCCCCCAGCACAGCCACAAACTCAGACAGCACCCAATGACCTCTATTTGGGCTGCAGCACAACTGGAGCCTGGCTATCAGCAGCTACCTGGCTGGTAGCCCCTTTTCCTGCTGCCTGCACTGCCATGCACACACACAGCCATCACCCGACGCGCGGAGCAGCAGCCTGGTAAATAATGGTCCATCAGGAAAGAAGTGTCTATACATCTCATCTCCTTTAATTCACTTGCAACACGGTGATTCAGTGAGGGTGGGTCGGTCGTAGCTGCAGGTGCTCCCGGACCGGGGAGGAGCACAAAAATGAAGTTGTTTGTGGCTTTTGATTCCATCCCTGGAATTATTTACAGCTGCAGGCAATATTAAACTATGTAGAGCAAGTGTCCTCATTTACATGCTAATTCATTTATACCCTCTGGATTGATTTCTCCAATTCATTTTCAGCCCACTAACTCTTCTGATATGAATTATATTATCACCTCCAGAACGGCAGCAGGGAAATGTGACGAAGCCACCCCGGCTCTTCTGATCTCTAATTGCCCTCACTGCTCGGAGCTGGCGTGGCCAGCTGCAGCTCCACTCCCTGCCCGTGGGCCCCACATCCGCTCCATGCCAGCAGACAAAGGCTGTGCTGACAGTCCCACCTCCAGGGCTCAAACCTGGGGAAGGTCTCAGACCTCCGGCTTGCTGCTGCCTCTGGAAATCATTCCTTCTTTCTGCCCGGGAGGAGCATTTCAGAGAGCAAAACCAAAGTGTGTCCACATCTTCCAGCAGACAGACCTGGAATTAATTCTAGATTTCACGAGGGCCTCTCTGAGGCTTCTCAGCAGCCTCAAATCACAACAGACGGATGCAACACATCCCCAGTTCTCCCTGCCTTGGGAATGAAGCACTCACATTGAGAGGACATATTGTCATCACAGAATGATAGAATCACAAGGCCGGAAACAAGATCATCTAGTCCAATCATCCTCCCACCACCATTGCTATCAGAAGCTACTAAACTACATCTTGTAGCTCCCCATCCAGATGCCTCTTGAACATTGCCAGAGACGATGACTCCACCACCTCCCTGGGCAGCCATTCCAGTGCCTGACCACCCAGGGGCTGGAGAAGAGCAGGGGCTGCCCATAGGAAGCAGCAGGACTTGTCAGTGTCTCTGATGGATGGGTGTGGACGAGACATCCTTTACCTTTATTTGGTGGCAAATCCAACAGCTGGTCTCACTTCTCTGGAAGACCTGGCTGAGATGTCGAGGCAACAGTGAGGAAGGGAACCACCTCCTTGCAGTGACCTGTGAGCCTGCAGGACACCAGCCTGCTACCAGGGAAGGAGAAGAAGCCAGCAGTCAATGGGGGAAGGTGTGACCATCAAATCCCTTCCAACCCAAACCGTCCTACGACTCTATGTGGAGTGCTGCAGGGTGCAGGGCAGGCTTTCCCTTCTCCCTTACAATAGCAATGGAGTTCTGCAGAAGTTTAAATCTCAGCTTCCATAACCAGGTGGATTTCATCAGATAGATGCCCCACTGACTACCTGTAACATCATTTTTAATCCTGCACCAAACATACAGAGCAGACTGCTCAGGAAATCCAGTGAAATCCTACCCCTTCTCACGGCGGGCCTTTCACTGTTATTGCTGATGATGTTTGTCCTGTGGTTTATTACTGAACGGGAGGAAAGCATTTTGCATGGGGCACCTTCTGCAATAGGCTGTTCTCATAGTGCTGTCTTGGAGCTCAAACATACAAAGAGCTGCCAGCCCAAAGCACTGAGCTATGGATGGTTTAAAGGCAAGGTGAGCATCCCCACCCCGTCTCCCAGAAGGAAGAGGAAGGCTGGGTTTAATGTTTTGGTTTCAAGCTCAGAAGCATTCAGTGCTCAGAACGAGGTGATTTGGAGAACTGTGTTTTTATGTCCTTAATTTGGCCATCAAGAAAACTGTATCAAGAGTTCGGACAGCCTACAGAATGCAGGACAGCATCCTTTCACTATGTAACAACTCATAGTTCAAAAACATTGTGCGTTTACAAACATGACAAAATAAATAAACGTGGGATTTATACAACTGTTCTGGGATCGTTGTCCCTCCACGTGGAGCATGGGTTGGCGTTCCTGTAGCACAGTTTGCTCTCTAATCCCGTGTTTCAGCACTGCTTACCTTGCTGGCTATGGGTGAACTCACAGTAAGGAACTGGTGATGCTCTCATGCAGAGCGCTTGCACATCCTCTGCCTTGCAGCCAGATTCGGGTGTTAGTCCTGCAGAAGGGGAATCCACCTCCTGCAGCTAGAGTGAGCTGCAGTCAGATGCTTTGACATATGCCCTTCAGAGCCCATTGCAGTGTTTTACAGCTGTTGGTTGACCATGTCGGAGACGGGAGTCCATAGCTGTGCAAGTCAGCAGCTGAGGAACTCAGCAAGAAGAAAACACTCAGCTGGCCAACACGGCTGTGTTCAGACAGCAACGGGTTGGATGCCACACACTGAGCTGATACAAACACGTCCAAACTGGGCACACACGCACACAAACACACACGATGGTATTTTAAAGGTTTGCAGAAACCTGCTTTCACAGCCTAACTCCTTCCTTGCTCTCGCATCTCGTATGAGCAGCACGCAGCTCTCTGCTGCAGCTGGGCAGGCGTGCCAGAGGGACCAAAACCAAAAGGTCCAGGCTCATTGAAAGTTAAACAGAACCACTTCTCCTCCAAATTCCACTGCAAAATGAAAGCTACAGGGAAATTAAGACATTTCTGCTGGCTGGTAGGGAAAGGACAGCTCTTTGTTCCTGATTTACACCATCTGAAACAATTAACTTGTAAAGCTGAGATACCGTTCCCCCTTGGTATCCCCTGTTTGTTTTGCCTCAGACCATTTCAAATGAGCACTTGAGAGAGAGCCCCTCTGCCTCCCTGTCACTCGAGGGAGGGGGAAAGTTGTCCTAAGTGGAACAATAGCCTGTCCCTTCTTAATGCCACTTCAAAGCTCCTCGGTCAGGAAAATTGATAATTGCGTCAAGTGCAGTTTTTCTAAACTTCATCATTTAGCACTGAAAACTGGGCTATTGAATTCATATAGTTCTTTGATCAAGACCAGTTAATTAAGTTATTCCCTTGATATGGCTCTTATCATTTTAGTGCCAGACCTACATCACACTTACGCAATTCCCATACTAGCTTTGATATGCATCGTGTAAGCTTCCCAGACCATCACTGCTGGGCTTCTACAGAGTCACTGCTACCTTACCAGTTCCACCTAGCACACAGGGTCAGCCTGGGAGTTATTAAAAGAGTGATTCTACAGCCCAGAAGGCTCCTGGACACTGTGCCAAGGGATGTCATCCATAGGCTGAGACCAGAGCGGCGATTTCTCCCAGAGCTTGCAATTTCCAATTAGTACTTGGAGTTCAAAACTCCTGCTGTTCCTTCACACCTGATTCCTCCCGATCCTTCCTCTTCTCTGAGCTCCTCCATCCCACCCAACCATCCAGGCCTCGTTCAGCAAATCCTCTTCCTCCGCATTCCTGCTCTCCATGGAAGAGTGACAAGCTCCAATTTAGGTCTCCACAGTTTTTCTTGGGCTTATCCCCTTAAACCGGATTAGCGAACGTCTTAATGCCAGTGACACCAGTCACAGCTCACCATCTGATCCTGCCTTTCAGGATTTGCTGCATCTCTGCACTTTCTTCTGCTGAAGGAGATCCTGTGATCCCTCCTTGCAATGCCTCCAGCTTCTCACCACCAGCAGCCTCCCACCCCACTGTGCTCCTCTCATCTCATAGATGTCCAAATATCCTCATTTTCTCACCTGGCTCCTCTGGGGTCTCTTTTGCCACCTGAAAGTCTTTGTGCTTTCCTGGCTTTGATACCTACGGGCTTCTCCTCCAAGCGCTCTTCTTCAAGATGCAGCCTCACTGGAAAACACAGCTTCTTTCCTTATGTTTCATTTTCCTTCACTATCAGATACAAAACACTGAGGCAAACAACTTAAGGTTGTGTTTCCACTCTTCTGATCCACTCCCATATTGAGTCTGCCTGTGGTCTCCATCCCACCAGGACTCCAACAGCCCCTGACACCCCGTCCTCGGGCTCTGCCTGCCCTTCCCAGCTCAGCTTCCTTCCCCACTGCCCTTCACACACAAACCAGCCCACATGGGGACTTCCTCTTGCTCCTCCTCAACCCCCTCTATAGAGAAATGTTCCTCCCAGGCCTGCTGCTCACACTCCATTCCCCATCCATCTCCACCACGGTGAGGTAACACCGCTGCAGCACTCTACCACTTGCAACTGTGGGGAAGAGATGGGGTGAGCTGCAGCTCGATCCTTCCATGGATAGGACAGAGGAACCCCCGTGAGCAGCGTGCAGGTAAGACAGGCCCTGGTGGGCTCCAGTTCTGTCTGCCCACCTCCATCTCACATCCCTGGGCTCCCCAGCATCCCGCCACCAGCTCACCATGAGACGCACAAGTCCCCTCTGTCCCCTCAGAACAAAACCCCACCAGAGCAGGGCCACCAGCTGGAGTTCAATTTCTGACTCCAAGGCGTAACTGGAGCCAATTTGCAATGTGCTTACTCCAAAAATCGCCCTCCCCTGTGATGTGTGACAGCTCCAGACCACAGTCCTGCGCACGGCTCCGAAGGAAAAATGTTTTAATTTGTCACAAACCAATTATAGCGTCTCATCTATCCCTGAATTACTCATCTTGGCTACAGTATAGGACAAAGGGCCCCTCTGAGAGGAGATTAGACATGGATATTAACAAGAGAAAAAGTGTCCACTGTCTCACCTTGCTGGGGACGCGGCTTCAACGAGACAGGAAAAGGAAACCCCTCCTGACTGACAGCTGGAGGGAGGGCTGCCATCCCACCGCAAATCCCTCGCTTCACGCAGAAGAATAGTCACGACAAACTCCGTATTACTGCGCATTCAAATAATATTCATGCATGGCAGATAACAGAGTCACGGCTGGCAGAGCTGCCACATGAATATAAATAACCTGTGCTCCTCTGGTTGCTATCGGAGATGCTCTGCCACAGTGTTGGAGCACGAGTGACCGGGCTGTTGGTGCAGTGTGGGGATCTGAGAGCCATGGATGCTTACATGGGTGCTGTAGCTTCATCTGAGGACACACCAGCAGCCCTGAGTCCGTGCTTTGCACCAAACCTAGTTCTCAAGGACCCAAGGCCTTTCACATCAATGCTCCATCCCTCCCTTCCCAACAGTGCTGGCCTCAGGCATCACCCTTCATCCTGAGGGCAAAGACGAGGGTGACACCTCTCAGGAATCACATATGGTTGGGCTGGAAGGGACCTCAAACCCTCAGTTGTTCCAACCCTCCTGCAGTGGGTAGGGTTGCCAGCCACTAAATCAGGCACAAGCTGAGACCCAGATTTGCAGGTGGTTTTGGTCACTTTGAACATTGAAAAGTATTGCCTGAAGCTCCCGTATTCAAAAGGCACTTTACATTTACAGCCCCAGCTGTGGCCAGCCCTGGCCACTTAGCTCAGCAGCAGGTCTGCCCTCTGGCAGCTGGATGAACATGAGTGCTTGCTGCTCTGTCTCAAGTTGATTCAAGGCATCCAAGGGCAGCCTATTACAGATCATCTCCTTCCTTGGTGGAGAGGGAGCTGATGAAAGCCAATTTCCCTTTGTACTCATCACGAATAATTTGGAGAATTCCCCTTGTTTACTCAGAACTGTTAATGATGCGTCAGAAATTACCTCTGAGATTGTAATTAAAGAAAACGGCAGAAGAGAGAGAGACACACACACACATACACACAGAGAGCCTCATCACAGCTTCATCTGCAAGTCAAGAAGTGCTGGAGCAGGCAGCCACCTCCCCTGCATCCCAAACCCACAAAAGGACCCCCCCAGACACCCTGAAATGGCAGAGACTCAGAAGAGCAGCCCCCAGACCCAGCGCAGCCCCCACTCACCTTCATTTCTGCTATGAACAAAATAGCTGCAGTGCTCCTGGGTATCAGGAGCCAGCGACACCATGAACCCAAACAGGGAATGAATAGGAAGCTCAGTCCTCCTGAAAGTGGAGCAGCTGACCTAGAGGAGCAATTGAGCTCTCAGCCATTACCAAAATGCAGACACCCACATGAGTACAGCAACCATCAGCCAGCCTGACCTCAGGGCTCAGCGTCTGGTGGGGTTTGAGTGGAGCACTGACAGCCCTCTCCCATGGAGACAGGAGAGGAATTGGATTCCTGTTTGATTGCAGGAAGGTGCTCAAATTGCCCAATTACTCAGGGATGACCATTGCGGGGGAGAGACAGCAAGAGCTAGTTACCCAACTCCCCACTCGGTCCTGAATAGTGAGTGCCTGTTTTCCGGCAGCAGTTGGCCATCTCACAAAACCAAACCCTATAGGAAGTCATAAGGTTGTAACTTGAACACCCAGTGATCACAGTCCTGTGTAGCTCCAGTTCCTGCCTGCCTTCAAGATAGGTGAAGGTTCAACTGAAGATGGAGATGGTGATTTTGCCACTTTCAAACTTGCATAGACTAAATTTCTTGAGACTGAAGAATCTGAGCCTGAAAAGTCAAAAGCAGAGCAAGAACGACAGCCCAGGCTGAGACAGTCACAAGAAAGGAAGAGCTTCACAAAAAGCACAACGGTCTCTGTGGTCAGAACATCCTCCAAGCCCAGCTCATCCTCCTCAGGGTGAGCACAGGCTAGCATGGAGCACTCAAGGACAGCGATGGATCTGCAGCTCAGCCAGTCAGGCCACCAGTCTGGGTGTGCTGGGGTACCGCAAGGCTTGGGGATGTGTGTGATCCTAAAGCAGCAAGGGAGAAAATAAATATACTTATCCATCTGGGAGCCTGGCGGAGTTGGGCATGTAAAAGATGTCATGGAGGAAGTCCTTGGCTCTGCTGCTCTCCCAGGACCTGCAACTGGTCTGTGAGCTCAGGGAGGGATGCTATTCCATCACAGGTGTGCAAAGCAGGACCAGCTCTCTCGCGGGTCCCCTGCTACCACCAGTGGCTCCAGACACCCTCATCCCCAGTCAGTGTTTGGGGCAAGCAGGACAACGCACAGCCAGTAAGCCACCCCTAAACTCACACGGGGACTCCGAGATGTGCACCAGCAGCTCTTTATTGGACGAAAACATAGGCAGGTACAGGGCGTCCCACCGCACATACACTCGCTGTGGGCACCCCACCGAGATCCCCCCTGCGGTGCCCAGGGCAAGCTGCCTCGGACGGAGAGTCCCACTGCCACCTCGTGGGTGAGGGACGCATCGCCTCTGCTCTGCCACCGGGCACAGCAGGCAGCAAAGCCCCTCGCTGAAAAATCCCAGGCCCTGCTGGAGAACAGGACGCAGGGAAA